TATAATTTTTTGATAACCCACTCCTGGTATTGGCATTAATACTGCTGATGATTTTTTTCTCATCTATTTGTTAAGTTTTCCTACTCAGACTCAGCCAAATTTGTATCTTTAATTATTTTGTGTAATGTCTGTAGATATGTCAGCTTTGCTGTTTTCTTAGAATGTGCAAATAGTGCATCATAGTTTATTCTTTTCTTCACCTTTGCAATCTAGAATATTCCATAATTCAATTTCTAAGATAAGTCATCACATGTAAATACAAATTTTTACCATCACCTAACCAACATACCAAGTATAAGGTGAGAAGTAAAGAGGATTTGGTCACTTTGGTAAGAAATATATTTGTCTTTTTTGTGTGAGAAAGATGGTGTCACTAATATTTCATTTATGTACCTGGAGAAATCATAAGAACTTAGGAGCAGATTAAGGTTTATGTAACTTAATGGAAAGACAAAATTTCATCTGGAAATCTTGTCAGTTGTGGCCATGTTCATGACAATATGGGACAGTGCATTGCTTTTTAGAGTGAGAAACTTTTCTGTTGTCTTTTCTAATTTTAATTTACACAGTCTGGTAGATGAATAAAGCACAGGACATCACTATTCCTATTTCTGTTAAACTCACTTATCAAGGTAACTTAAGGTTTGTCCTTCAGCCTTTGATATTTTCTTCTGTTAGACCAACTTTCATCTGCACAAGCAGAGAATCCACAAAAATCCCCGAATCTCAATTTATGGAACCCAATAATGGGTAAGTCAAAAGAGAGGGGCAGTTAGTGCTATCTGTGCCATTGTATATAACAATAACAGTTCATGTTCATTAAATTACTAAATTCTACTAAAACCCATTATCAATATACTGACCAAATAGATTCTTTTTACACATTTATTCATTGACAATGATAATGATGATAAAACACATTTGCCATGTGGATCATTTCACCTCATTCTTATTGATCTTATTAAGTTCAGACCTGTTAGAAAGCTTCTTCATTTTTCTACTTTGAGGTATATGAAAGGAATGTAGATGTGTTTGCATAGGAAATTAAGAAGACTTATCAGTGAAGTTTGATACCAAAATCTAATGAATACGTTTTCCATTTGGCATGTTTTTTAACACAGTGTAAATGTGTCAGTATAATTCATGTTCATCTGTTGCTGTTATTTAACTTAAAGTAGAATGTTTATAGTGATAACAAGATGAGAAAAAAATACCCCTTTCTAGTATTGACCATTGTTATATTAGTAATTAATTGATTTGCAAGTTCTTTACCGTGAGGCTTTCTAATCATGTAAAAGCATTGAAACAACTTTTCTTCGCATTAAAATGACAGCTGAAGACAAAGCTTGAAGCCTTATTCAATAGTAATGATACCAATTTATGTTCTTTTGTTTGTTCCTTTTTCACACTGTTTTTGCAATAATTCAATAATAATGATACCATTTTATGTTCTTTTGTTTTTTTCTTTTTTCACACTGTTTTTGCAATAACCTGTTATAATAATGTATTATGGTATTATTCCCTTTAAAAACTGGTTATTAGAAAACAGCTTGTAAAGAAATAAACAGCTGTTACAGTATTGCTGAAAGCTGCCTTTTGTTTTATATAATTTTTTGTCAATTTTTTCTCCTTTTTTATGGTTTAGTTGTTATTTTTCGATTTCCATCAAAAAACTTATTAGATTCAAGAATGGATTCATATTATATTTACATTTTTTTTAAGTGTGTGAAATACATCTCTAGGTTCTCACAGAACTTTGAAATTTTGATGCCAAGCTCTGACATAGGGTATTTTGCTTCCTAAGGATGACTGTAAGGTGTGTTTTTGTGACAAATGATGATTTCTTTCAGCTTATGATGGGCCAGGCCAGGCCTATGACAAGTCCAAGAATACAGTTCAGGTGTTACAGGTGACATCAGGATCCTCGAAAGACTTCAGCAGTAGCAGTGGGGAGGAGGATGACATACCAAACATCAAAATGACGTCCAAAGGTACTAATTTCTTACACATAATATTACGTGATAGTAAAAAGTTATTTTTTCAGAAATAAAAGTAGATACTGCCATCTTTGCCACTGTACCTTTGTTGGATTTAAGTTGCTGAACCATATCAGATTTTCCTTTTTGTATTCAAAGATTTTTGCTTGTGAACTACCCCATCTTCCCATTATTTTGATGCCTTATCACAAATTTTTTTCTGCCCAACCAAATTTCAAAAATTTATTTTGACACACAGACTCCACAGAAAAACTGAGCTCTAAAAAGATCCCTACCATGATGACAGCAGAGGCAGATGACAATGTGGAGGACAGTGATGAAGATCCTGAGAGCACAGTGGAACCTGGACCTGTCACCCCAACACATGGAAGAATACCCCGACCCAGAAGCCACAGTCCCTATAGTGCAGGCAGTCCAACTAATATACCAACAGAAAGTGAAAGAAATGTAAGAAGCCATAATGTGCTGTTTCTGAAGCTATTTCAAAATTATTATGTTTGAATGGGTGCATTACTGGTACACATGTTGAAGGATTTTGGCATTTCTGTGGTTTTCTGAAATGGGCTTATAGTTCTACATTCAGTGATGCTTTTTATGTCTTTGTTTGAAATAAATGATATATAATTTTAAATCTGGTGCACAGGCATGAACGTTTTTATTTTCAAATATGAGTTCCCCTATAATTACGTCCACCATTTTTCTTTTATTTTTTGTTTACAGGATTTGAACAATCCTCCAGGAGCTACAGGCAGAACTTTAAATGTAGACCCCACTGATGATTTAGAAAAATTTGTCATTATGCCTGCACCCCAGGGCGCAACCATCAAATGCCGTATTACCAGGGACAAAAAGGGGGTGGATCGCAACATGTTTCCAACTTACTTTCTTCATATGGAAAGAGATGATGGGAAAAAGGTAAACTTGAGTTTCTAGTTTCTGTTGTTGACTCACACCCTGCCAAAAAAATGAAAGAAAAAAATTACAAATATTTATTAGGTTGCCATTTACAGGTCATCATCATGCCAAAAGCTTGTATGTTCCCGCTGCTTAGTGCCTTGTGTTATTGAGAGGAGCAGCCTGTAAATTGAATTCTGTATTGATATGGAACAGATTTTGGTGGAGAGTATTATAATTTTATTTGAATGGAAAAGGATGAAACTTCTTGACTTATTGCTGTTGTTTTGACATCACGTATGGATACATTTAAACTTTGAACTTAAAAAAAGATGCATTTGGACAATTTTGTGAAGTTTTAATAGTCCTTTATACAAATTCCAGTCTAAGATTGAAAGACAAGGTCCATCTCATGTAAGGGGGTGTAGTCTTTTTTGTTATTTTTGAACATTTGCTTTATGTGCTGCAAGCCATTCTGCTACCGTCATTGATTTGCTAGATGTCCATATTTCATAATGAAAGATGACAAATATTTGCCTGATATCACTGATAGATTTGCTGTTTATTGGTTTTCTGGAGTGAGGGCACTTTTCATTATTGATCTGTCATACTAATGACTCTGTCATTGTAAAGCAATAACATGATATTTTGGTTTGTAAGATTTATGGGAAATTCATGAGATTTTTGTCTTTAGTGGTTAAGCTTATTGAAGACTTATAGCGACACACTGTTTAGTGTGCCTAAGATTGTGTGTTATTAGGTTCTGTAGGAAGGCTTTGAAAAAACATGGCACCTTTACGTAGTATTTCACAAAGTAGAGGGTTTCTGTTGTAAATGCAGTCCATTTTATCTTAGTTGTAATGATAGGCTTGTAACAAGTCCCATGCCTTTATCATTTTGCTTTTCTTTGTTGGATGCTTTGAAAACAAGGGAGAACATATTGTCTTATAGAATGTATTGTAAATATCTTTTTTCTCAGAATAGCTACACATTGTACACTTTAATTTTTTTCTTGTTGCTAAAAGCATGGCAAGCAATATTGCTAAATAAACATTGTTTCCTTCATTGTTTTTCATTAACTTGTATAGAGTACAATTTTTGAAGCACACATTTTGCACCTTTTCAAACTTCAATAGCTCTACCACCAGATTTTTAAGTGTCAAGAGTACTTTTATTTACTCTGAAAATTTCATGTTATATCGAGAAAATTGTATGAGGAGAATTATTATTCAAAATTACAAGCTCAGAAAAATATATATGCATATGACTGTTGTCTAACAGTTAAGGTTAAAGTATTCTCTAAAGGATTTACCAGTCAAATGGATTTTCCTCTGGCAAAAGCAATTTTCTACGTCCCTGCACTGGGATTAATTTTTTATTCAATGGTTGAGTTTTAAATGACTGGCCAGTCATATTGAACAGTGCCAAGTGAATGTGCACATTTGAAAAGAAACTATATCAGGCACTTTTATTTGAGGGGGTTTATAGTTTTTAAGGTTTGGATTGGAAAATATTAGTAGCTTTGAAAGATATGAAGACAAGCTATATATAACTTTGAGAATGTGTACAATATACCTTGAACAATAGTTCAGGGAAGTTGCATGCCCTATGGTTAAGTTTCTTATTGGATATATTTCTTCTAATGTGCCACCTTTACCTTACAGGTTTTCCTTCTTGCTGGCAGAAAGAGAAAAAAGAGCACTACATCCAATTACCTGATCTCTGTTGACCCAACAGATCTGTCACGTGGTGGAGAGGCTTTTGTAGGCAAACTGAGGTGAGTCAGGACAGATGAAATGGAAATGTTAGTTTGTTGTTGTTGGTGGTGGTGGTGGTGGTGGTGGTGGTGGTGGTGTGTGTGTGTGTGTGCATGCTTGCATGTACTAGTATACGTGTATGTGTAGTGTAGTTGGTGGATGAATTAACCCCACAATAGCACATAGCAGTTTTTCTTGGCTAGTGCCAGTACTCTATGACCTCCAGCAATCAAATTGTGACATTTAGTCTACAACAGAGGAATATCAAGACAACTAGTCCACAATGGAGGTTAATACTTTTGTACTTTCAAGACCTCACTAAGTTCAAGTTATGTAACAATGTAGGTTGAAACCCATTCTGTGAAACTAAATTTTTAGGTCACTTTTTTGTGATTATTGCAAATAAGACCAAAAACGATCCCTTTTCTAAGTATTTAAACTAGTACTAAGCATAAGAGAATGGAGAATCTTCTGGAACTCCACAACAAAGTACCTATGAGCCCACTTTGGTTAAGATAAGTTCAATATAATGAGATGGCTTTATTTTACTATTCAGGTCAAATCTGCTTGGTACACAATTTACTATTTTTGACAATGGTGACAGTCCCAAGAAACCAGGAGAATCATCTCGGCAGGAGCTGGCTGCTGTGGTTTATGTAAGCATGTTAAAGTTTGGAAATCTGTTACTCACCAGGACAGAGCTCAAAATACATAGTCTGTTAATTCGAAACTATGTTAGTCAATAATTTAATTCAATATTTTAGCCTGGCTGATGAAATTTGCTATATGCTTTAATATGTTATTAGTTTCTTTTTCAAAGAACTCTAAATTTCTGAGAATTTTGAAAAAAAAAATGTTTGGTTTCTTCAGGAGACAAATGTCCTAGGTTTCAAAGGGCCTCGCAAGATGACTGTGATCATTCCGGGCATGAATCTGGATCATGAGCGTGTGCCTGTGGCTCCCAGATCGGTAAGAAAAGCAAAAGACAACAAGACTGTAAAACTGGATTAATGAATAAATTGTTCATTGCTAGTTTTAATAAAAGCTTTCCACGAAATAAGTAAAATGTTTTTGTAGTATTTAAAGAGATTCAATCAGTTTTTGCCATGTCATGTTTTTGTAGATTCGACTCTCAGACTTGGCGCAGTATTGTGTTTTCACAGATAACTCCAGATATTTTCTGTATAGTTACCGTTCTATTTATCAGGATTATGATGGTCTTGTGGAAAGATGGAAGCATAAGAGAATGGAGAATCTTCTGGAACTCCACAACAAAACCCCTGTGTGGAATGATGGTGAGTGAAGCAAAGGAACACAGGCCTTAAAGATTCCAGAGAAATTAGCATTTAAGAATTTCAGTGTGAAATTTTTAGTAAGTCATTGACCATTTGAGCAAGAGTCAAAGGAAGGGATTTTGCAAAGGTCCACTTATATTTTCAATTAGTGCATACAAATTTTGATGGTTGCATTTGCACATTTTACATCTAATTTTTCATTCCATATTCCATGTCAATAAGTGCACTGTGAAATATTTAAGTAATCTCCCTTTCTAGAAACACAATCCTATGTGCTGAATTTCCATGGAAGAGTAACTCAAGCCTCAGTGAAGAATTTTCAGATTGTCCATGACAATGATGGTAGGTGTTATTATGTACTAGCAAATTATTTATTAATGTTGTGTTTTTTATAAATATTAATATACTGCACTGTAAGTGTCTGTATGTATTCTGATTGGTCTGTCTGTCTGTGTTGTTGCTGTCACTATCAATGTCCGACACATGACGTTCGCCCCATAACTGCCAAACCGTATTTTTGTTTTATTATAAATTTACTGAGTGGCCTTGTTTGGCTAAGAAGCAGGTTGCTTTAAAAAATTGGCATGATCAATTTACAGTTACAGTAATTATTCTGTTTTTTATTTATTTATTTATTTATTTTGCACAATTTTGGTGACCTTCACCCCTTAACTTCCAAACAGTATTTTTGTTTTTCTTGAAATTTACTGAGTAGCTTTGTTTGGTAAAGAAGCAGGTTGCTCTCGAAAATCTACATAATCTGTTTACATTTACAGTAATTATTCTGATTTTTTGCACAATTTTGGTGATGTTCTCCCCATAACTGCCAACTCATGTCTTTGTTTTACTTTAAATTTACTGAGTGGCTTTGTTTGTTAAAGACTCATGATTGGTTTACATTTATGTTAAAATTTTTTTTTATTTTCACACATCAGCATTTTCAGTGGCTTTTTCAATGTCCATGTTACTTGTAGTACATAATGTAAGAGGGTAAGAGTGATTAAAGAGTTACGTAACTGCATCAAAATTGTCCAAAACATTATTTGGTGCATTCTTTTCTGCATAATGTATAAACATTTGTCAGCTTTGCTGCCTTGTTTCAGCTTTGCTGTCTAGTTGTATCTTTCAATAATATTTTTTGACACTCGCTAATGGACATTGATTATGTTTTTTTCAGTTGACTACATTGTGATGCAGTTTGGGCGTGTAGCAGAAGATGTGTTCACAATGGATTTCAACTATCCAATGTGTGCTCTTCAAGCTTTTGGGATAGCTCTCAGTAGCTTTGATAGTAAGCTGGCATGTGAATAAAACTTGGTCTCAGAGCATGATTAAATTAATTTGACAGATACATCTGTTTTGTCAACTGGATCCATATTAAGCAAGAATGTGATAGGAATTTAATCAGACCAAGATTCACATCTAGAACGGACTGTATACCCCAAAAATAGAATACTGGAAGTTGTATAATACATCTAGACTTAAAAGGAATTTAACAATTATATAATTGTATACATATGTGCTAGCTTGGAGGTACTTCATTGCTCATGACATTTGTTCTATTTTATTGACTATATTCCATGCATGTAAGGCCACAGTACTGTGTTTTGAGAAGAATGTGGGCCACTGGATAATATTGCCAGTCCCATGTGGTCCAAGTAAAGGTCACATATACATAAAATGTCCCCAAGTGTGCAGAGTATAATGAAGAAGCAAATAGGAGATCCAGATTTATTGATGACCTACCATTTTGTTATGTATTTGGATATTCAAATGGGTATTCCCTTTAGATTGGTTACATTAACTTTTTTGAGTGGAAAAAGATGACAGGACAAAGAGAAAAATGTTGTACTAAGACACAACTATCAAAACCATCAAATTACATCTTTTCTGTTGTTTATTACAAGTTAAACATATACAATAAAGAAACTTTAGCCAGTGGATTCATAAATTCATTGGCACAGTATTTAATGGTATGGTAGATGATCATTTACATTGCATTACATTACATACTGCATTATATCCAAATCAGTAGTAGCATAATTAAAACTAGGCATTTGATCCAAATTGAAAACGCATTTTAAGTGTGACAAGTAAAGTTAAGTTTATGTGTAATATGATGTCACTAGTAACAAAAATATGTAAATAATGCTACAGCTTTTTGTGTCAGGCATTTCAGGGTATTAGGAACTTGTTAAATGGCATCAAATCCATGTCTTTATGAATTATCATGGTGTTTTGTAGTGATCTTCAAAATAAGGAAAACTTCAAATAGAAGTGCTAGCTTTAAAGGAGAGGTAGAAGTTGGGATTTCTTACAAGAGAAAAATTCAGGAAACCCAAGTGTGCAATTTTCTATAAAGAACGTAACCATGAAGTGTTTTCCTGATCTAAGCTTAAATGTAGTATTGTCTGTCATAGTGCTTATGATATAGTATTCTATTAACCGCACTATAATTGTTTGTGTTATATTCATACCATTGTACTTCAGTGTAAGTTCCCATATATCATTGATAATTGGGATAACAAAGACTTTACCCATAATGACATATATTTACCAGGACTATGGGTCTTTATGGTACTAAAAAGTACAAGTTAGGTCACATAGTCAGCAACCAAAAAAATTCACATTTCAAACATCGCAATTTCTTTTGTGGAGTAAAGTATACTTTAAATTCCCAGAAATCTATTATTTTTTACATCCGAATACTACTTGTCATTACAGTTAGGTCACAGATAATTTCATCTTAAAGGATCCTAGTGAAGTACATTTTTACTTTTTTTTCTAAGCCAATTTTCTAATTATAGTTCCAGTATTATTGATTTTAAATGGGACCAAAATAGTTTGAACCGTCCATGAAGCATTTTTTTGTGATGAAGCACTAATAATTCTATATCACTGTTATATTATTTTATTCAAGTTTAACTTGTAGTCATCTTTTTTCTGTAGAGGTTAAGATTGATCCTTTTGTAACTTTGGAAACTTTTACCAAGGAAAATAATAGAGCACTGACAACAATGGAAATGAGAAGGCGTCCAACTCTTAGTGACTGTATGATTTTCATGAAATAAAAATATTTTCTGACTGATAAACTCATTTTGTCCACATCAAGTTCTTTTCGCAGAAAAACTAAACAATATCTTCTGTATTATTTATGTCTGTGTAATTTTCTTGTTTAGGCGGTAAATAAGAGTAACTCATGACTTGATTTTATGCAGCAAAGTGTGTTATACAGAGACCAGATTGGAACAAATAACACATTCTCTTTTACTAAATATAAAATGCAGAGAAACTTTTTTTCTTAAAGCGAACTGCTCTTATTTGTTCTTGGTTTTCTTCTTTGATTTCTTTTTTAAGATAATATTTTGTTTCTTAAATAAACTGATATTTGTAGCTTTCTGTTCAAGTTTATTAATTCTGGGAGTTTTTTTATTGATATTAGATTCCATTTCCTTAGAAATCTTGGCTTTCATCTTCTCTCTTTTCTTCATTTCATTCTTTTTATGCTCTGGTATGTCTGCATACCAAACAGTGTTAGCACCATCTTCTTGGTCTTGAACCCGTTTTTGAGTCTTTTTCCTTGTGTGCAAGATCATTTCTCTGAAAGTGAATTTAGGTCATATTTAGAAAATTGTCTACAAAGTCAATCCATTTGACTTATTAGCCAACTAGAGTACTATATGTCACTCAGATTTGGTTGACAAAACTGACCTTGCTAATTCATTTATATTATATTTTTTCTTACTAAGGTTTCTAAAACAGCAAATTGGTATGTGTTCTGAAAATGTAGGACAATTTCCATCTCCATACTTTCGTTTCCAGGACCTTTCTCTGTCATATTTGGGGACTGTAGATATAGGTTTCCTCTTAACAGCACTTCTGGCCAGTTTTCTTTTCACTTTCCTGAATTATACCAAAATAAATTGGATTCAAACTTACTTTAAACATATTGTAAAAAAAAAAAAAAAAAAAAAAAAAAAAAAAACAGACATTAAAAAAAACTGCCTACACAGTAGTTATACTAGAGAACTGAATACTTTGTCACGTAACTAAGATTCTCTATGTTGGTGAATGCACTAAATGAAGACAAATGGACAAAACTTTTCTGAAAATTAACTTCATGATATATGATTTAGAATCGCATAAGTGCCACATAATACAAACTTGTCTGGTTTCTTCATTGTCATCATGTATTCTGGTACTGGACACCCTGCCTCCTGCATCACATTTGCTATGCTGCAAAATAATAAAACTGTATGATTTACAAAATGGACTTCATGACATGGAATAGTTATTATAATACAACAGTAATATCCATAGACAACCCAGCGAGTTCAGTTTCACTGCGTTGTCTAGAGGTGTTATGTTGGTCTGTTTATGTTTACCTACAAATCAAACACTGAAAATGTAAAGATTAAAAACATTTCCAAAATACATACAATCAACATATGGATCATCTTCCTACAGAGGACCCACATCATGGTTATGCTGAACTCTTACCGTTTCAAAAAAGATACATATAAATACACAACTTTTTTCTAACCATATCACATTGCAGAATTACTTGAGTTGAAATTGCATTAAAATTATCATGTAACAAATATTCTTCACTAACCTTCTCAAGTTAACAGCATCATTTTCAGTAAAAAAAGTGACTGCCCTTCCTGGTCTTCCAGCTCGCCCTGTACGACCTGAATGATGAAAGAATAAAAAAAAAACTGACTGAACAACACTGCACCTAATCTTAATTTCTAAGAAATGCTTTTGATTTACACACAAATATTACCTTTGTTTTAACTGAAAAAAAAAAAGCATGAAAAAAACTTACCTATCCTATGTATATAACTGATGGCACTATTGGGGAAATCAAAGTTGACCACCAAATTAACTCCTTTAAAATCAATACCCCTTCCCATGAGTTCGGTACAAATCAGCACCCATATTTTCCCAGCTCTAAAGCTTTTCACGACATTATCTCTCTGAAATATAAAATGCATAATATCTACCAAATCATACCATCTGACTGAAAGAGCATCATTTATGGATCTTTTAAGATGTTCAAATGCATGTGTGTGTGTGTGTGTGTGTGTGTGTGTGTGTGTGTGTGTGTGTGTGTGTGTGTGTGTTACTTTGAAAATAAGGGCAGCATACTTTTTTAAATTAATATTTCACAAATGTGCTCCTTTTCCAGTGTGCTTTGTGTTGATGCTATCTCCTCCTCTTCCATCCCCCCCCCCCCCCCCCCCCCACATAAAAATTACTTAAGAGAATAATTAAATAAAACAAACAACAAACACAGATATTACACAAATAGTGGCCACTATCTGTAGCAGAAAAATAACCTGAAGTTGTGTTCTATCTGCATGGATGACGTCCACATTCATGCCATCATATATCAGCTCGCTGAACAATTCCTTGGCTCTCTCCTTAGACTGGAGAAAGATCAACACAGGAGGATGGAAGCCCTGGGATCAGAAGAGAAGTTGCTTTTTCAAGGAATTTTGTAACAGGAGATATCTTAATTCTACTTAGTGCAAAAAAAAAAAAAAAACATATCATACTTATTTTCACACATGACAAAATATGACTGTATGTCTGTCATATTGTGTGTAACCTCACCTTTTTGAATATGTCTCTTAATGCCAATAGCTTTCCAGACTCATTTCCTACAAACACCAGTTCTTGCTGCACCAGGTCTGCAGCTGCATTCCTAAAATAAATAAAAATAATGCCAAATTTAAGATCAGTCACATTTGCTTTTACATCCACTTTTATTAAACACAGGAATGAACACATATGGGGTGCAGCAAGGAATCGGATGCTGAAACTGGCATCATAAGTCGCTGAGGGTCAAATCAACCATTCTCTCACCAGAGAGAGAAAGAGAGAAATAGATGTGTGCCCACAACCAGAATCTGGAGATTTCTGGTTTTAAATTAATATAAACTAATATAGATAAATCAAGATACCAGTTGGACCATAAAACACAATAACAGAAACCAGAACAAATTGACTTACCTAGCTCCAATATACACAGAAAGTACATTATCTAAGTTAAGTCTGCACCATTCTTCAACTTCATCTGCAAATGTTGCACTAAACATACCACGTCTCACATTGGGATTGTCACAGGCGTTATATATACAGGCCAGCTGGTACAAGAGAAACAAGAAAGGAATATATTAATAACCATGGTGACACCACTGATCAATATCATTAACCATAAATAGAAAAGCAATTAATATCACTTTTCATTTTAATTTGATATCTGTAATTCAAATCCAAAAGATGATGCACAAACAAAGAAAAAAAATGCTTACCTGGTCCCTAAAACCCTGCTTTCCTTCCTCAAATAACTTGTCAGATTCGTCTACAATTAACCACTCAACACTGGTAAAGAAAGAATAATGTATATATAAAGTTGCCAATTCCAAAGAGGGAAACACTTAGATTAGTTTATTTTCTTAGTGTTGCACCACACATAAAACCGTCACCAGGGACTTTGAGTGCTGTCTTTCAAGAAACCACCAATGTACCTGTCCTACTATACGTATTTTGCCCTTGTATTCCTACAGACTATCCCTAGGTTTCCTTGGGTCTCCCTCTTCTCACTTTTACCCCACTAACCCGGGGACATAACAGCTCTTTAAATATCCTCATCTGAATTTGGCATTCTGCTGATTTGTTTAGACATTTCATTGCTTATCATCATTATTTCTTACATTATTTCACCTTGAACACACTAACATATTTTCCCCAATAGAATCCAAGCATGAAATAGATTACCTGCTTAGCTTTATGATAGGTGGATCATGCTTCAATAAAAACACAAGTCTGTTTGGTGTTGTCACCAGAACATCTAGAATAAAAATAAAAGAAATCAAAATAAATACCATTTCATAGTTTTAAAAATCATCACAATCAAAAGTAAGATCAGCAAGTGAGACACACTTGGTCAAACTCAACAAAGTGTGCTAGACTTCCATATATCCATTTAAAATACCCTATTCACTTACAGTATCAATACATCATTAATGTTTCATAAGGAAATCTCAGATACACTGTATGACACATAACATAACTCTCTATTTCTTTCTGCATTTTTAAATGGCCTTTCAAGCTTACAAATGCTCCAATGCACACACAACTGCAATCAGCAACAATATACAATTTCTCACTTTCATGCATAAAAAAATTTCGTAAAATAAACAAATAATTACCAAATTTCTGAGAAACATGCTGTCCAGCTGTGATAGCCTTTTCAATAAAGTTTATGCGAAGACCAGTACCTTCAGCAAGCCTACAGCACTCCCTGTAAGTCTATCAAAGGCAAAACTATCAGCTTTCTACCAAAAAGTATTAAAACTGTTCCAATTAAAATGTGCACATTTTAAGAAAACATCACTTACTTAACTAAATGCAGTTACAACAATAAACCAGTGACTGGACAAAGCAGAAAACATCAAATCTAAAAGGAAATTTGGGTATTGTAACCCTTTATTATCACCCAGATACCGAAAATGAGTTTTTTCCTGCATCTTATTACTGCAGTTATGTATCTATTTTTGTGCTGAATTAAAACATTAAAAAACCTTTGAAATTTTAAAATATCGGCCTTTATATTTCTTGTTGTCATGCATAAGCATAGGCAAGGCAGACCTTTAATTGTCAATTTATCACATTTCTATTTTTAGGTGAGATAGCAATTGGTATGGAGCATAGCTTCATCCCTGAACAAGATTTTACCATAAAAATTGGCAGAGTTGACCAGAAGTATACGGGCTAAAATCCTGTCCAGTCATTTTGGTTTAAATGTTTTTGATATGGAGTTATGAGCCACTAATTACAGATTTTCANTAAGTAAATCTCAGATACACTGTATGACACATTACATAACTCTCTATTTCTTTCTGCGTTTTTAAATGGCCTTTCAAGCTTACAAATGCTCCAATACACACACAACTGCAATCAGCAACAATATACAATTTCTCACTTTCATGCATAAAAAATTTTCGTAAAATAAACAAATAATTACCAAATTTCTGAGAAACATGCTGTCCAGCTGTGATAGCCTTTTCAATAAAGTTTATGCGAAGACCAGTACCTTCAGCAAGCCTACAGCACTCCCTGTAAGTCTATCAAAGGCAAAACTATCAGCTTTCTACCAAAAAGTATTAAAACTGTTCCAATTAAAATGTGCACATTTTAAGAAAACATCACTTACTTAACTAAATGCAGTTACAACAATAAACCAGTGACTGGACAAAGCAGAAAACATCAAATCTAAAAGGAAATTTGGGTATTGTAACCCTTTATTATCACCCAGATACCGAAAATGAGTTTTTTCCTGCATCTTATTACTGCAGTTATGTATCTATTTTTGTGCTGAATTAAAACATTAAAAAACCTTTGAAATTTTAAAATATCGGCCTTTATATTTCTTGTTGTCATGCATAAGCATAGGCAAGGCAGACCTTTAATTGTCAATTTATCACATTTCTATTTTTAGGTGAGATAGCAATTGGTATGGAGCATAGCTTCATCCCTGAACAAGATTTTACCATAAAAATTGGCAGAGTTGACCAGAAGTATACGGGCTAAAATCCTGTCCAGTCATTTTGGTTTAAATGTTTTTGATATGGAGTTATGAGCCACTAATTACAGATTTTCATTTAACAAAGGCATTATTTTATTTTATCAACAAAAATATCTTAACTAAGACTTTTAAGAAAAATTGCTGGTAAGGTTTTGGAGTGTTAAATGGTGTCATTAAATCAGCCTTGAAACGGTGACCATGGGTGCTCAGGTAAAGAAGAAATTTGAGAAACCAATTTTTCACATCACCCGTAAGATGACATATGTGAAAATGTTAATTAATTTAGTCACTCAACATTGAAGATTTATCTATTACCAAAAAGAATACATGTAAGGCAGTAGATAAGGAGTGTTGATAAGGCAGTAGATAAGGAATATCACTAAGTCAAACCTCCAACTTTTCCATCCCAATAAAAATATTTATTTTAAATGAACCATTTAGCTGACTGCTTATATGTCAAGGCAGTACAAAAACTGGATATAAATTCATACTAAAATGGGATTCCAACTTAGTGTCCACCCACCTGCTTGGCTAGTTCTCTGGTTGGAGCAAGTATCAGTGCCCTTATCCCAGTGTTCCTGGGCTCACATAGGTNATAATAAAAATAATGCCAAATTTAAGATCAGTCACATTTGCTTTTACATCCACTTTTATAAAACACAGGAATGAACACATAAAGAAAAATATGGGATGCAGCAAGGAATCAGATGCTGAAACTGGCATCATAAGTTGCTGAGGGTCAAATCAACCATTCTCTCACCAGAGAGAGAAAGAGAGAAATAGATGTGTGCCCACAACCAGAATCTGGAGATTTCTGGTTTTAAATCAATATTTATAAACTAATATAGATAAATCAAGATACCAGTAACAGAAACCAGAACGAATTGACTTACCTAGCTCCAATATACACAGAAAGTACATTATCTAAGTTAAGTCTGCACCATTCTTCAACTTCATCTGCAAATGTTGCACTAAACATACCACGTCTCACATTGGGATTGTCACAGGCGTTATATATACAGGCCAGCTGGTACAAGAGAAACAAGAAAGGAATATATTAATAACCATGGTGACACCACTGATCAATATCATTAACCATAAATAGAAAAGCAATTAATATCACTTTTCATTTTAATTTGATATCTGTAATTCAAATCCAAAAGATGATGCACAAACAAAGAAAAAAAATGCTTACCTGGTCCCTAAAACCCTGCTTTCCTTCCTCAAATAACTTGTCAGATTCGTCTACAATTAACCACTCAACACTGGTAAAGAAAGAATAATGTATATATAAAGTTGCCAATTCCAAAGAGGGAAACACTTAGATTAGTTTATTTTCTTAGTGTTGCACCACACATAAAACCGTCACCAGGGACTTTCAGTGCTGTCTTTCAAGAAACCACCAATGTACCTGTCCTCGTATACGTATTATGCCCTTGTATTCCTACAGACTATCTCCAGGTTTCCTTGGGTCTCCCTCTTCTCACTTTTACCCCACTAATGCCCCTATTTCACACAGACCACGAATCCCACGAATGGCCATGAATTGACAAATTTCACGATTCGTGGTTGAATCGTAATCAGTTCATGAAATTCTTAACAGATTGGTATATATTCGTAGTCAGTTCTTGTACTTCTTGACCAACAGGAATGGGTGGCAAAAACTTTGATGCCCCTATTTCACACAGACCACGAATCCCACGAATCGCCAGGAATTGAAAATTTCAGGATTCGTGGTTGAATCGTAATCAATTCGTGAAGTTCTAGATTCGTATATAATAGTAGTAAGTTCTTGCAATTCTTGATCGATCGGGAATTCGTGGCAAAAATTTTAAGCTGTTCATAGTTTTGGCCACGAACTCCCGATTCCAAAAAATCGTAGTGAATTTCTGGACAATATTCGTGCGATTCCAGCCGAATCCCACGAATATTCGTAACACTATTGCACCTGTATTGCAACTGAATCATAAAGCGTGTCGAACTAGACCAGAAAATTGGCAAAATCTCACGATTCCAGCCGAATCCCACGAATATTCGTAACACTATCGTACTTGTATCGTAAATGAATCGTGACCGTGTCGAATTAGACCAGAAAATTGGCAAAATCTCACGAATCCTAAAATTTGTCAATTCCTGGCGATTCGTGGGATTCGTGGTCTGTGTGAAATAGGGGCCTAACCCGGGGACATAATAGCTCTTTAAATATTCTCATCTGAATTTGGCATTGTGCTGATTTGTTTAGACATTTCACTGCTTATCATCATCATTTCTTACATTATTTCACCTTGAACACACTAACATATTTTCCCCAATAGAATCCAAGCATGAAATAGATTACCTGCTTAGCTTTATGATAGGTGGATCATGCTTCAATAAAAACACAAGTCTGTTTGGTGTTGTCACCAGAACATCTAGAATAAAAATAAAAGAAATCAAAATAAATAACATTTCATAGTTTTAAAAATCATCACAATCAAAAGTAAGATCAGCAAGTGAGACACACTTGGCCAAACTCAACAAAGTGTGCTAGACTTCCATATATCCATTTAAAATACCCTATTCACTTACAGTATCAATACATCATTAATGTTTCATAAGTAAATCTCAGATACACTGTATGACACATAACATAACTCTCTATTTCTTTCTGCATTTTTAAATGGCCTTTCAAGCTTACAAATGCTCCAATGCACACACAACTGCAATCAGCAACAATATACAATTTCTCACTTTCATGCATAAAAAAATTTCGTAAAATAAACAAATAATTACCAAATTTCTGAGAAACATGCTGTCCAGCTGTGATAGCCTTTTCAATAAAGTTTATGCGAAGACCAGTACCTTCAGCAAGCCTACAGCACTCCCTGTAAGTCTATCAAAGGCAAAACTATCAGCTTTCTACCAAAAAGTATTAAAACTGTTCCAATTAAAATGTGCACATTTTAAGAAAACATCACTTACTTAACTAAATGCAGTTACAACAATAAACCAGTGACTGGACAAAGCAGAAAACATCAAATCTAAAAGGAAATTTAGGGTATTGTAACCCTTTATTATCACCCAGATACCGAAAATGAGTTTTTTCCTGCATCTTATTACTGCAGTTACGTATCTATTTTTATGCTGATTTAATACATTAAAAAACCTTTGAAATTTTAAAATATCGGCATTTATATTTCTTGTTGTCATGCATAAGCATAGGCAAGGCAGGCCTTTGCAAGGCTGGCCTTTAATTGTCAATTTATCACATTTCTATTTTTAGGTGAGATAGCAATTGGTATGGAACATAGCTTCATCCCTGAACAAGATTTTATCATGAAAATTGGCAGAGTTGACCAGAAGTATATGGGCTAAAATCCTGTCCTGTCATTTTGGTTTAAATGTTTTTGATATGGAGTTATGAGCCCCTAATTACAGATTTTCATTTAACAAAGGCATTATTTTATTTTATCAACGAAAATATCTTAACTAAGACTTTTAAGAAAAATTGCTGGCAAGGTTTTGGAGCATTAAATGGTGTCATTAAATCAGCCTTGAAACGGTGACCATGGGTGCTCAGGTAAAGAAGAAATTTGAGAAACCAATTTTTCATATCACCCGTAAGATGACACATGTGTAAATGTTAATTAATTTAGTCACTGAACATTGAAGATTTATCTATTACCAAAAAGAATATATGTAAGGCAGTAGATAAGGAGTGTTGATAAGTCAGTAGATAAGGAATATCACTAAGTCAAACCTCCAACTTTTCCATCCCAATAAAAATATTTATTTTAAATGAACCATTTAGCTGACTGCTTATATGTCAAGGCAGTACAAAAACTGGATATAAATTCATACTAAAATGGGATTCCAACTTAGTGTCCACCCACCTGCTTGGCTAGTTCTCTGGTTGGAGCAAGTATCAGTGCCCTTATCCCAGTGTTCCTGGGCTCACATAAGTGGTGGAGAACAGGGAGAACAAAGGCTGCAGTCTTCCCTGAGCCTGTGGGGGCACATGCCAGTAGTTCCCTTCTCTACAACAAAAAACAGAAAAATGTTTTTGTAATTTGAGATTTGGACAGACTGACGACCTTTTAATTAAAATGCCAAAAGTACATGATATAATTCTTATTTGTGGTGGTCTTCCATGTATAATTTAAGTTGACAAACCAAAAGAAAAAAAAACTCTAGCAACTGACAAAAATACCAGCTCAATTAATTTTAAGAGTCAGCTTGCAAATGCTTTTTTGATGGTATACCAAACAATATACTTACATGCAACATAGCTGGTATTGCCTGCATCTGAATTGGTGTTGGTACATTGTAGCCATGGGCTTTCACATTGTCTAATATCTTTGGGTTAACTTTGTGCATATCTTTCAATTGTTCAAATGAAGCAATTGGGTCTGGAATATCAGTGCCATGTACATGGATTCTGTGCTGTCTACGGAAATGATTGACCTGAAAATATTATATATTTTATGTCATATGCTGCAGAATCCTATAAAATATCATAAATACAGTCATATTTTGGAATTATGATGTAAACCGATTTAATGCAGCCAACCTGTTTCTATATCTTTTATAGGATTAAAACATCTGTGTAACCAATGTCTAAAGATTAATATTTTCCTAACACTGTTTTTTCTTCTTCTATTTTGAAAAATACCCCAAATCATTCAAGCAACCATTTATGTATTCATACACAGTTTTATAAACAAAAGATAAAAAAGAAAGCAAATGATAAATCATTATGAACCTTTTCTTGCTTCAGGTCAGCTTTTTTGGCATTCTTCTTGTTGCTTTTCTTTTTCTTTCTTTTTCTGCTTTCTGACTTTGTCTCAAGTCCACTGGACTTTATATTCCCTAACAACTGCAGTTCTTGTGATGGCATGTTCTCTTCAAGAACAACATCATTTTCACTGTCACTTTCACCTGAAATTATCATCAAAATGAAATCAATTTCTCTATGAAATTTCAAAGTGAAATGCAAACATTGCCACACATCTACCAGCAACATTAAATGACAATCTACCAACATAAAAGACATTACAGTTACAAACATAAAAATATAGTAATACTTTGAAGGATAATTTTTCACTGATGGAATTCTTTTCACTTAAAAAGTATATATATACCATCTTTGTGTTCACCATGAGTGATAGAACTCTGTTTTGATGCATCTCCAAAGAAATCAAGAGTGGCTGCAATTCCATCAGATTGGTCTTTTTCTTTCTTGGGTCTAATTATCTAAAATAAAATATATAGCATGGCAAACATTAATTGATCATAACTGCAAACGCTGCTTTTATCAAATAATAATATATATATAATTATCAGGAGAAATAAATATGTATTCTCGGAGATTAAAATCAAACCCTACAATCTTACAAAAAAAATGTAACTTACAGATACATTGCAATCGTCCATCAAAATTACAACCAATGAACATTCCGAATTTCAATAATGCTTCTATGTATACATATGTATGTTACTAGTAGTAGTACTAGCAGAAGTACATTGTACTATGAGTGGTAGCTAGTCCCAGAAGTACACCCTAGCTATAGCTGATTCATATATAATTTCCTTATTGACCAGTTTTAAGGTGAATAGTGATAATTATTACCTCTAACTTCTCCGCATCACCTTTAAAACGCTTAAAATCGAATTTAGCGCCTGCTCCTAGCAGCCGAAATAAGTCCTTCGCCTCCATGCCTGCAGGTTCTCGAGATTAAGTGAAAAACGAGGAGTTTCAAAATACATCTTGAGTTATAACATCTCATGATAAATACATGTGTGATGAAATATACTTATCTCCTCCTCCTTTTTCTCTTTCATTTTACAATATTGTGTACTAAAGGTCTACACAAAATTGTAAAATAATCATAAAATATAGTGCACACATTCGAGAGTAAAGAATGACCTTTTACCTTGTTTGACCTCATTACCAGCAGGATCTCAACTGCACAGGTGTTGGCATTCGAAGGTATCTCTTGCGGTTCTTGTTCAAAACTCAAGATGGGAGAAGAAAAGTTGACAGAAGAAGAGAAGAAGATGAGCATGGATGAAAGGCTTGACAAGATCAACAATGAAATTTATTTGTTGTATAAAATGTGTTTAGATAATGGGTACAAGCCCAAAGAAATAGAGCAGTTTGCCCAGCCCATTCTTAGCAGTGTGACAGAGGCTAGGAGAAGACGGTACATGAAGCGGATGTTATTTGGAGCTGTTGTTTTAGCTCTGATAGCATGTTTCATATACTACGAACCGGTGTATCGTGGTATTCAGTTCTACTTTAGGGTTGGACTAATGAATGTAAGTTTAATTGTGATGCTCAGGCTCCTCTTTATTGTATTTCACTTTTATTTATTCTTCTCTTTTTTTGTGGAGAGCGGGGGTAAAAATATGCTTTTCAATATCATTTAATTTTTATTTTAATGAATAAAGCTGAATAAAATGAAATTGAAAGTCGGAAATATGCTACAGTAAACATAGGAAGAGGTTGCCATCTTGCATTAATGTAAATTTAATCATTATATTTATTTATTTTCTTACCTTTTACTTATTTATTTATTGGCATTTTTATTTATATATTTACTCATTAAGAAAACTTAGATCCATGTTTTTTGCCTGAATTATTTGAGTAGCTTCTTCCCTACTGGAACTGGAGTAAGCTGTACAACAGAGAGTGCCTGGTAGACAACCCATTCTATGAAGGTGATAAGTTGACTGAAGAAGATTGCAAGGTATATATATGAATATGTGTAATAAAATTTTTATAAATCTCATATTGAATGCAGTATATTTCCTTTGGTTTAAAATGGTATATTTTAGGGATGAGCATTTCAGAAGAATGCAGTGGATTAATGTTTCTGTTCACTTTCTCCCTATTGATTTCCCATTCACCCACATTTTTTACACTTTTTTGTAATGTCATAGTCTACATATTGAATCTATGTAAGGCGCATATATGTAAAACTAGAAACCTTGAAACACAGTCCCTCAGGGTTATAAAGGCAGCCATGCAGTCATGCATACCTATACTTGGAAGTAGGTTGCACCTCTATTGAGAGCCAGTCAACCATTTGACCCAGCATACATGTACTGTACCACCTAAACTGTGTAGAATATTTATCTGTTTTAGTATTGTTAAGCTGACATATTGCTCTGTCTTCCCTTTAAAGGTATGGGAAAGTTGCTAAACAACTTTCATAAAATTGTGGAAATAAGCAAGTAATAAATGAAAAATGCCACACATATATGCAAATGTACTTTTTTGCCTTTAAGATAAACCTATGGTGTCTTACACCAATAATATTCCTCGGTCATATTTCTAGCAATTCATTCTATATTTATTGCCCTAGTGAACTATGTTCTCCTGTTACAGGATGGTGTAGATTTTATCATATGCATGAAAGATGTTGAAAGCTTTTGTTTGTTTTATTATTTTATGATTTTTCCATGTGAAAGGTTGAAATATTCTGTGAACTTTTAGACAAGTTATTTCATAGAAATAAGAATACATGTCCAAATGACAAGTGAAAGAGCATATTCATTAGTATATTATGATCTTTTTATCAGTCCTTTTAATTAAAATAATCTTAAAAGCAATTCACATTTGAAAGAAGAAATGAGAGAGTGAGACAACTAATTGAAGAAAGAATTAACTGATTATATTTTTTATAGCTGTGTGCAAATCTGACTGATATCCCTCGTCTTCAAAATGTCAGTGAAGCAGACATGGCAGACAAGTACATTACTCCAGAGGTCCCAGTGATTATAACAGATGCTATGGAGAACTGGCCTGCTAGAGACTTGTTTTCTTTAGAGTGGCTGATAGAAGTAAGCATACATCAGTATGATAGGAAGTGTTACCGAGATACCATTTTTATTTACCTGTTATTTGCCTACACTTGATAAATGCACATGAATAATTAAGAAACTACTTATGAAACTTGAGCATGAATAAAAGAATACTACTTTTTATTGCATTTTTAAGTACCAACTATTTTGCTCAGCTTATTAATACACTCAAAAATACCCTGTAAGTATACATTTGTGAGACACATCACTATTAGCTTTAATGAATGGGCACATTTTTAAACAACAATAGCTCAGAAACATATTGTTTTGATTTTGAAAACATCTGCACTTCTATAATACTTTTTTTGTAGCAATACGAAAATGTACCTCAGCTGAAGAAAGGGCGATATTGTGACTATTATAGCAATTACAAGTTGAAATTAGGATCTGTGAAAATTTTTCTGAAGGCTATAGCAACTGGGAAGCTCAAAAAGTTCTATGCTAGATGGTAATTATGATATTAAAAAGATATGCTGTGTTACACCCCATAAAAACCTTTCCATTTTTATGTCCACTGTGATAATTATCTTTTGTGTATTTTGTCATTTTGTCATCCTAGGTTAGATTATAGTTGCTTGTTGTATGTTATGAATTAAGCAGTGGCAAATTTTTGTTTGCAGGGAAAACTGTGACAAGGCCACAGCCAAAGTATTTCGTGAGTACTACAACAACAGACCATATTTTCTGCCTCCCATGGTGGAGCAAGCAGACAGCAATATGTTTGTCATTTCCTCAAATTACACACAAGGAAAATACAAGCCTGTAAGTGACTGTGATCTAAATATTTACTCTTTTACATTTTGTTCCATATTGATTTCCATATATTTGAAATCATTAACAAAATAAAAACACTGCGACAAGTGTTATTCTTATACCGAATATAATTTTGGAATTCATATATTTTGTCCGATTTCATATAAAAAAAATCATGTGCCTGACTCTTACTGTTGGAAAGAAATCATCGATTTGATAGCCATTACTGATTAATTTATATTTGTTCCAGATTTATACTGATAGTTCCTTGATTTGGTATGCACAGATTAAAGGAGCTGCAGAGATCAGAATTAAAGCATACAGTCCATGTAATGCCACGTGCCCTGAACTAAAAACAACTCTTCATCCTGGGGAAATCTGTAAGTGGATGTGCAGTGTTTAATTCTGTAAAATGCGATTTCAAATTGGAAAATCTCATTTCCTAACTTAAAAAAGTCTTGATGTTGTTGTTTGTATGCTTTTAAAAGACATTTTTGTGAAGAGCCTAAAATTAATGATAATTGAAATTAATGTATTGTTATACATGAAGTAGAATATCTAGTTTTGCACCTGTTCTGTGGTTTTGTTTTATAACTAAATACTCGTATATTTTCACTCACTTTTTCAGTGGTCGTGTCACAGATGCTATGGATGCTGGATGTAATGGTGAATGACCCCGGTGAAAGTATTGCCATTGCTGCTGGGGGGAAATATGATACTGTCCCCGCTACATAGTAATTATGCCTTCTACCACTGATGGCTGTTATGTTGACCTATATTATTACATTTTTTTTTGGACAACATGTGGACCCAGTGGATCCAGATAATGTTCTTCCTGAGGTGATTTTATAAAATGAGATGGTATACACTTCCTGATAATCATTGATGGAAGTCTGATGGAGTCTGATGATTTTGATGCTGTGCTGTACCTGAACTGCAATAGTCAATTTTTGTTTTTGGCCATTGCTTGACTTATTGTCATTATATTAGTGAAAAGTTTGTATTACTTTTACGCCTATCAGTTGGGATAAACGTATAATACTAAAGAAGAAAATGGCATAATCAAATATTGTTTAACTTTTAAAAAGATTTGCTTTAGTTGTCATTTGATACCAAAATTTTTAAAAATTTTGTTAAAGTAATTATGGAACTGATTAAAGAATGAAAATGATTGTGATAAGAATATATCAAGTATTACTCCTAATTTCCCATTAAGAATCTCCACTTATATTTTGCAGCATGCAATTTTCTGGAATGCTTACAGTGTAGTGATATTAACGTTAGACCTAACTTTATTTGTTATTCAGGCACTAGTTTTAGAATTATTCTTTTTATTTTCAAATATCTGTGACTTTAGGGAGATAGATTTGTATTCAGACAACTTTTTTTATTCAGATACTGTTAAGATTTTTTTTGTTAAATGTTACTGTCCTGTTTTCTTTCTTAATTCAAACTCCACTGTTTTTAACGTTTTAGTTTTACAATTAAGGTGAAAAAAGGGATTTTTGATTATTACTATAACATTTTATTCAGCTTATTAAGAGAATCTCGGCCTCAAAATCAGAGACAAATTTCATTTGTTTTGAAATATAATAATGAAAAAAATAAATAAATAAATGACAGCAGAACAATGCCAGTTACTATGTAAACTGAAGATCAGTTGTTAAAAAAATGTTTATTTGCAAGTAAAATAGATATCGATATTAAACAATAATATAGAGAATTAAATTCACTAAATGAGTAATTAATAAAGTCTTTAATTAAAATTGTAAAGATGAAATAAAACATTTGGTACTTATAGGATATTTAAAAATACATTGATTCCTTTTTTAAAAAACACACTAAAGCTCTGGGCAGTTTTTAAAATTAGTCAGTGCCCAAGGTATGAATGTCTTTGAAAACAGTATATTGTATGAATAAAGGATCATATTAAAAGCAATTTGATAGTAATGGGTATTATTTGTTCAGTTTCATATTGTTGGCTCATGCTTGTGTATATCATAAGAGTCCTTTATTTTAAGTACCAGCTCTTTGTGGATTAATTTGTGAACCAAAATAACAAGAATGTCAGTAATCCATAAAAGATTCTATATTAATTATGATAGTAGTAGTATTTATTTGCTTAAGAGGAGATAATCAATTTTATGACACTAAATATGTGAACGGTTTGGTGATTTTCATTTAAAAATGAACATGAAATTCCGACATTCCTTAGATCTACTACAACCATGAAACAAACAAAAAAATGCCTGACGTTCTGTTGCCACCAGACCGATATTAAAAAAATCAAAAGCTGATTTAAAGAGAATTTAAAACAGAATGTGTTAGCTGTGTCTCTTTTGAGATAAACACATGTCACTCCTACCGCATTGTGCATATACATGTATTTCCGGAAGATAAGATTTGCACTTGCAGTAAAAATGGCATTCGTCAACATTGCCATTTGGAAACCAGAACAAGTGGCAGAATGGCTCAAAGGTGAGATTTTATTGTCAGTTTATGGACGTAAGTTTAGTCAATATTTCTCCTTAGAAGTCCATGGCAAGCAACTGATTGTTATGGTTTAACACTTGTTAAAAGTTGTTTTTACCGTAGCTCCATTTATGCAGTTGTGTAAGGCCAAATAAACAGCGGGTGACATTCAGAATGAAAAATATAAGCTTTCTATTAAAATCTGATGCAATATAACTGTCTTGATCTGAGATACAGAAACGTTGAACACTCTCTGGGACAATTAAGGAAGCTCGAGCGCTACCTGTACCACTGCCATACAAACCATAGAAGTAGCTACTTCTATGTACAAACAAAACGTAATTACCTCAACCTAGATATACCAGTACTAGAACCCAAACTCTACTCCACCCCGGTAGACAGAATATTAGACTGATGATTAGATTGAATTAAAACTGCATACGAAACCACATTGTTTGCATCCACTTCCAGTTTTCTGTATCTGACTGCCCAGGTATAAATACATGTAAAAGTATCATATCAGCTAGGGGTTTGACACCCACCTGTTACTTCACTGACTTTAACTTATTCAAGCGTACCTTTTTAAAGGCAAACAAACTTGTATACAAACACTATTAAGACTGTTATCAATGAATTACAAATCAGGTAATGAAATAAGCTCTAGTTGTTAATGCTCATTTTCTTAGGCCTAGACGATGCCATGCTGCCATACTACCATTTCTTCCTGAATGAGTCCATTGATGGCAAGCATCTGATGTCACTGACCTATGATGACTTAGACAGAATAGGCATTACCAAGATTGGTCACCAAGAAATGATTTTAGAGGCAACAAATTTGTTGGCATCTCTGGTGAGTAAGGAGTGTTTTAGTGTTACACATGTACCCTGACTTTCTGTAGAAATGTATCAACTTAATACTATCTATACTAGTATAACATACTGAGTATTCATGTACATGGATTATGTGTAGATTAGATTATTTATTGAGAATCTTAGGATATAATTTTAATTTTGATATTTGTTATTTATTTTATTTTATTTTAATTTATTTTGAAAAGCATTTTGGGTTCAGGTTAAAATGGTTTCATATATGAGAAACTTAAGTGATAAATCTTTTAAAAATGAAATGTTGGAAAAGAGAGGTATTTGAATTTTGTAAGCAATCGCTGTATTCCTTGGATTCAAAGTGTAGGACTTGAAGTCATGGGTCCTCCTGCTTTGCTCGTAGACATAGGCTAGACAGGCCCACAGTTACATGTATCTTAAAAACTAAAACACTAGAAATTTTTGTCGAAATAATACTGTCCTTGTTGTCACATTTTAGCACTATTCCTTGGAGTCAGAGCACCTGCAGTCACTGGCCCTCAAACTTGGAGGCAAGGCTAGACTGGTCCATAATCACTTGAGAATGAACATATCATTGAGGTCCTCAGTCAATGGCAGTGTCCATCCTGACTACCTCCCAACTGATGTCCTCTCTGATATCTCTCATGTTGTGACAACACTGAAAACTATGGTGTCATGGCTTGATAGGTGAGTTTTGTTGACGTATTTAGTTTGAGTAAATTACATTTTGAGTTATAAAATCGTAAGAGCTCTGTCAGTTGAACAATCTTGTTTTCAGTAATTTAAATATCATGTAAAGGAATATTGTTAAAGGAAGTGGTCNCTAGACAGGCCCACAGTTACATGTATCTTAAAAACTAAAACACTAGAAATTTTTGTCGAAATAATACTGTCCTTGTTGTCACATTTTAGCACTATTCCTTGGAGTCAGAGCACCTGCAGTCACTGGCCCTCAAACTTGGAGGCAAGGCTAGACTGGTCCATAATCACTTGAGAATGAACATATCATTGAGGTCCTCAGTCAATGGCAGTGTCCATCCTGACTACCTCCCAACTGATGTCCTCTCTGATATCTCTCATGTTGTGACAACACTGAAAACTATGGTGTCATGGCTTGATAGGTGAGTTTTGTTGACGTATTTAGTTTGAGTAAATTACATTTTGAGTTATAAAATCGTAAGAGCTCTGTCAGTTGAACAATCTTGTTTTCAGTAATTTAAATATCATGTACAGGAATATTGTTAAAGGAAGTGGTCTTCAGGGAGGTGTTGTGAAATTATCTTTGAGTGCCTCCTAAAATTAATTATTTGATCCCAGGCCCCCATTTGAAGATAGCAGTGATGATTACCTGTTAATGAGAAATGCCTTTGTGAAACTTGGCTTGGAGCTGACCCAAGCAGCCTATGATGACAGTGATATCCTGGAGAGTGAAGAGAAGATTTTAACAGTGGTAAGAAAGAAGTCATCAGATCTGTTTAAAAAAAGGAGGGGGTCATGAAATGGATGATATATTGGATACTGTATTTCAGCTTTCATGTTTGTTTCAACACTTTCAGTTTAGTACAGTAGATAGTGTATTTAATTTTCATTCCTCTTATATCTCCCCTTAAGCCATTATTTATGTTGCATTTGTCTGTCAGTTATCTATAAAAGAATGAATTTATCAACAGTGCCCTAAACTTTGCATGGTTATGGAACTGAAAATAAGTGATTGCTTGTTAATACTCCATATAAGATAAGTTTAAGCCAAGCAATTTAAAGACATAGGTCAGTTTCTGCATAATAATTTAGGGTTTGACTGTTTATACATGTAGTGTCTTGTTAAAGAGCATTTTTTTCTCCTCTCCTTTGGACTAACTAGTAAAAAAAGGGTCTCTTCAAATGTAGTGTTTTTTATTCCAGTGTCGAATGATCTCAGACAAATGTGATCATTTTATCCACACATCTAAGGATCCTCTTACTCTTCAGCCATGCTCTCTAGAGCTGGCAACCATCAGGAAGAAACCTGAGGAGGAACTGGTAGGTATCTCAGAAAATTCATTATATTGAAGGGCCCCTTCTGGGTAATCATAAAGGTCTTGCTGATATAAACCAAGTGTTCATATGTAGATCATGAGAGTGTTCCAGATAGGTACTGGCCTTGAAGTCAGGAGTGTCCTGTGACCCTTTCTGGTCATCTTGAGATTTTTTTATAACTGACTTTAGGCTTAGCTAAGACTGCAAAACCTGGGTAGCTGGCTATGTAAAGTTGACTTGGTCTGTTGGTCTAAGAGTATTATATGAACTATTAGCCCTAAAAAATATAGGAAACATACTGTAAATGGGCTGATGACATCAGCTAGACTGATGACATCAGTTAGTTATTATTTAAGTAATTAATTTTCATCAAGTTTCGTCTCTTTTTTTATACCAAGATAGTAAGAATAATTCCTATTCTTTTTAGCTGTTATACACAGTTAGTACCACCTTCAGTAAGTCTTATATAATTAGTTGTCATCATTTTCATCAGTTGTCCAATCAATTTATATACACTATATGTGAGGAACTATTAATTTATTACCAGGGTATGCATATCCAGTCCTCATACCTTGGCACGCACCTGATAGGAGGGGTAAAGGACCAGTCTCCAGCTGACATCTGTGGAAAAATTGAGGAAGGAGATGAAGTCATCATGGTCAATTATCAGATGGTGGTAAGTATGACTTGGAGCACATCAAGTTTCAGTGTGTGATTATTTGGTAGGAAATTACTTACACAGTAATGTTTTTGTGAGATTTGTGTTTTTGTAAACGTCTTTTTATCTAGGTGTGATTTAGTATTAGGCAGCATCCAGTTCATTTGCATCTTATATCTCTATTTGTAATGAAATTTCATAAAATGAAAAATATGCTAGTAGTATAATTTTCTACTTATAATAGTAGTTTTCACCATGTTCTAGGTTGGCTGGCAGCTGAAGAAATTGGTACAGATTTTGAGAGAGAAACCAAGAGAAGTCATTCTGATGCTTAAGAAACGTCCCAGACATGCTAATATCTTCGGCCAGCCAACTAATCGTAGGCGGCGCTCTCCAAACAAGAAGCCATCCACATTTCCCAAACTTCAGAAGAAGAGGTCTAGGGAAGACAAGAATGTGAGAACCCCACTACCACCAAACTTCCTACACTCTGAGCAGGAGCAGCTCTCTCCAAGGTAGAGGGTGTATTATTACTTATTTTGATAATAGAAAAAACAGTCTATGAACAAATGCAGGCATGTGATGTGTAATGTGAATTTGTCAGGTGACAAATAGAGAGATGTACAGATTCATTAATGTGCATTTTCTTAGGTCAATATTGCTTAAAAAAAGCAATGAAGAATTTTAAAATACATTTAGAAAGTTGTACAGATGACGACATACAGAATATTTTGGGATGTTTTTTTTATCCATAATGCTTACTAGTAGATTAATGGGAAATTTGGCATGTCTAAACTGCTTTTTATTTGATGTTATCAAGTATGTGGCTGAGGTATGACTGAGACTGAGTAATCATTTAAGGAAACGGCCTTAAAGAGGCATGTAGCTACCTGGGCATAGGTTCAGGTCATTGCTAACCACAATGTAATATGTTTTCAGCATGTTAGGTGCATAGAATGGCCATTTTACCACCTCCCTAGTATCTGGGAGCGTGTACGTACTTACGTTAACACTGTTCCATGAAATATTTGTTATGTATACATATTTCCTGCCATATACTAAAGTCGGTGACTATTTATGAGAGAAGGGAACCATATGTTTGTTTTTGAGCACCAGATAGACCTCATTATGTTAGCAGTTGTAAAGAGTTTCAGGTGGATTTATAGCTGACTCTTAACAATCAACAGACATTAAAAAATATGATGTTACATGTACTTGCAGCAAAATTAGTTGTTGATTGTTAAAATTGTTATTGATATATAGAACTTAATTTAGTTCTTAATGTGGCCTNTGTCAGCCGGGCGGACACGAAAGTTAATTACCCCTTAAAGCTTGTAGTAGGTGGGGACGGACTCTTACGGGGGATTATCTGACAGTAATCTAGTGAGACTCCCCGCGGTGATAGATCGATCTAAAAGTTGTGAGAACAGAGCCTTACTGTTGGAAAGAAATCATTGATTTGATGGCCATTACTGATTAATTTATATTTGTTCCAGATTTATACTGATAGTTCCTTGATTTGGTATGCACAGATTAAAGGAGCTGCAGAGATCAGAATTAAAGCATACAGTCCATGTAATGCCACATGCCCTGAACTAAAAACAACTCTTCATCCTGGGGAAATCTGTAAGTGGATGTGCAGTGTTTAATTCTGTAAAATGCGATTTCAAATTGGAAAATCTCATTTCCTAACTTAAAAAAGTCTTGATGTTGTTGTTTGTATGCTTTTAAAAGACATTTTTGTGAAGAGCCTAAAATTAATGATAATTGAAATTAATGTATTGTTATACATGAAGTAGAATGTCTAGTTTTGCACCTGTTCTGTGGTTTTGTTTTATAACTAAATACTCATATATTTTCATTCACTTTTTCAGTGGTGGTGTCACAGATGCTATGGATGCTGGATGTAATGGTGAATGACCCCGGTGAAAGTATTGCCATTGCTGCTGGTGGGAAATATGATACTGTCCCCGCTGCATAGTAATTATGGTTTCTACCACTGATGGCTGTTATGTTGACCTATATTATTACATTTTTGTTTTTGGACAACTTGTGGACCCAGTGAATCCAGATAATGTTATTCCTGAGGTGATTTTATAAAAGGAGATGGTATACACTTCCTGATAATCATTGATGGAAGTCTGATGATTTTGATGCTGTGCTGTACCTGAACTGCAAGAGTCAGTTTTTGTTTTTGGCCATTGCTTGACTTATTGTCATTATATTAGTGAAAAGTTTGTATTACTTTTACGCCTATCAGTTGGGATAAACGTATAAAACTAAAGAAGAAAATGGCATAATCAAATATTGTTTAACTTTTAAAAAGATTTGCTTTAGTTGTCATTTGATACCAAAATTTTTAAAAAATTTGTTAAAGTAATTATAGAACTGATTAAAGAATGAAAATGATTGTGATAAGAATATATCAAGTATTACTCCTAATTTCCCATTAAGAATCTCCACTTATATTTTGCAGCATGCAATTTTCTGGAATGCTTACAGTGTAGTGATATTAACGTTAGACATAACTTTATTTGTTATTCAGGCACTAGTTTTAGAATTATTCTTTTTATTTTCAAATATCTGTGACTTTAGGGAGATAGATTTGTATTCAGACAACTTTTTTTATTCAGATACTGTTAAGATTTTTTTTGTTAAATGTTACTGTCCTGTTTTCTTTCTTAATTCAAACTCCACAACTTTTTAGTTTAACAATTAAGGTGAAAAAAGGGATTTTTGATTATTACTATAACATTTTATTCAGCTTATTAAGAGAATCTCGGCCTCAAAATCAGAGACAAATTTCATTTGTTTTGAAATATAATAATGAAAAAAATAAATAAATAAATGACAGCAGAACAATGCCAGTTACTATGTAAACTGAAGACTAGTTGTTAAAAAATGTTTATTTGCAAGTAAAATAGATATCGATATTAAACAATAATATAGAGAATTAAATTCACTAAATGAGTAATTAATAAAGTCTTTAATTAAAATTGTAAAGATGAAATAAAACATTTGGTACTTAGAGGATATTTAAAAATACATTGATTTCTTTTTTAAAAACACACTAAAGCTCTGGGCAGTTTTTAAAATTAGTCAGTGCCCAAGATATGAATGTCTTTGAAAACAGTATATTGTATGAATAAAGGATCATATTAAAAGCAATTTGATAGTAATGGGTATTATTTGTTCAGTTTCATATTGTTGGCTCATGCTTGTGTATATCATAAGAGTCCTTTATTTTAAGTACCAGCTCTTTGTGGATTAATTTGTGAACCAAAATAACAAGAATGTCAGTAATCCATAAAAGATTCTATATTAATTATGATAGTAGTAGTAGTATTTATTTGCTTAAGAGGAGATAATCAATTTTATGACACTAAATATGTGAGCGGTTTGGTGATTTTCATTTAAAAATGAACATGAAATTCCGACATTCCTTAGATCTACTACAACCATGAAACAAACAAAAAAATGCCTGACGTTCTGTTGCCACCAGACCGATATTAAAAAAATCAAAAGCTGATAGAGAATTTAAAACAGAATGTGTTAGCTGTGTCTCTTTTGAGATAAACACATATGTCACTCCTACCGCATTGTGCATATACATGTATTTCCGGAAGATAAGATTTGCACTTGCAGTAAAAATGGCATTCGTCAACATTGCCATTTGGAAACCAGAACAAGTGGCAGAATGGCTCAAAGGTGAGATTTTATTGTCAGTTTATGGACGTAAGTTTAGTCAATATTTCTCCTCAGAAGTCCATGGCAAGCAACTGATTGTTATGGTTTAACACTTGTTAAAAGTTGTTTTTACCGTAGCTCCATTTATGCAGTTGTGTAAGGCCAAATAAACAGCGGGTGACATTCAGAATGAAAAATATAAGCTGTCTATTAAAATCTGATGCAATATAACTGTCTTGATCTGAGATACAGAAACGTTGAACACTCTCTGGGACAATTAATAGGAAGCTCGAGCGCTACCTGTACCACTGCCATACAATGTACAAACAAAACGTAATTACCTCAACCTAGATATACCAGTACTAGAACCTAAACTCTACTCCACCCCGGTAGACAGGATATTACACTGATGATTAGATTGAATTCAAACTGCATACGAAACCACATTGTTTGCATCCACTTCCAGTTTTCTGTATCTGACTGCCCAGGTATAAATACATGTAAAAGTATCATATCAGCTAGGGGCTGACACCCACCTGTTACTTTGCTGACTTTAACTTATTCAAGCGTACCCTTTTAAAGGCAAACAAACTTGTATACAAACACTATTAAGACTGTTATCAATGAATTACAAATCAGGTAATGAAATAAGCTCTAGTTGTTAATGCTCATTTTCTTAGGCCTAGACGATGCCATGCTGCCATACTACCATTTCTTCCTGAATGAGTCCATTGATGGCAAGCATCTGATGTCACTGACCTATGATGACTTAGACAGAATAGGCATTACCAAGATTGGTCACCAAGAGATGATTTTAGAGGCAACAAATTTGTTGGCATCTCTGGTGAGTAAGGAGTGTTTTAGTGTTACACATGTACCCTGACTTTCTGTAGAAATGTATCAACTTAATACTATCTATACTAGTATAACATACTGAGTATTCATGTACTCGGATTATGTGTACATGTAGGCTAGACAGGCCCACAGTTACATGTATCTTAAAAACTAAAACACTAGAAATTTTTGTCGAAATAATACTGTCCTTGTTGTCACATTTTAGCACTATTCCTTGGAGTCAGAGCACCTGCAGTCACTGGCCCTCAAACTTGGAGGCAAGGCTAGACTGGTCCATAATCACTTGAGAATGAACATATCATTGAGGTCCTCAGTCAATGGCAGTGTCCATCCTGACTACCTCCCAACTGATGTCCTCTCTGATATCTCTCATGTTGTGACAACACTGAAAACTATGGTGTCATGGCTTGATAGGTGAGTTTTGTTGACATATTTAGTTTGAGTAAATTACATTTTGAGTTATAAAATCGTAAGAGCTCTGTCAGTTGAACAATCTTGTTTTCAGTAATTTAAATATCATGTATATATACAGGAATATTGTTAAAGGAAGTGGTCTTCAGGGAGGTGTTGTGAAATTATCTTTGAGTGCCTCCTAAAATTAATTATTTGATCCCAGGCCCCCATTTGAAGATAGCAGTGATGATTACCTGTTAATGAGAAATGCCTTTGTGAAACTTGGCTTGGAGCTGACCCAAGCAGCCTATGATGACAGTGATATCCTGGAGAGTGAAGAGAAGATTTTAACAGTGGTAAGAAAGAAGTCATCAGATCTGTTTAAAAAAAGGAGAGGGTCATGAAATGGATGATATATTGGATACTGTATTTCAGCTTTCATGTTTGTTTCAACACTTCAAAATTTTCAGTTTAGTACAGTAGATAGTGTATTTAATTTTCATTCCTCTTATATCTCCCCTTAAGCCATTATTTATGTTGCATTTGTCTGTCAGTTATCTATAAAAGAATGAATTTATCAACAGTGCCCTAAACTTTGCATGGTTATGGAACTGAAAATAAGTGATTGCTTGTTAATACTCCATATAAGATAAGTTTAAGCCAAGCAATTTAAAGACATAGGTCAGTTTCTGCATAATAATTTAGGGTTTGACTGTTTATACATGTAGTGTCTTGTTAAAGAGCATTTTTTTCTCCTCTCCTTTGGACTAACTAGTAAAAAAAGGGTCTCTTCAAATGTAGTGTTTTTTATTCCAGTGTCGAATGATCTCAGACAAATGTGATCATTTTATCCACACATCTAAGGATCCTCTTACTCTTCAGCCATGCTCTCTAGAGCTGGCAACCATCAGGAAGAAACCTGAGGAGGAACTGGTAGGTATCTCAGAAAATGCATTATATTGAAGGGCCCCTTCTGGGTAATCATAAAGGTCTTGCTGATATAAACCAAGTGTTCATATGTAGATCATGAGTGTTCCAGATAGGTACTGGCCTTGAAGTCAGGAGTGTCCTGTGACCCTTTCTGGTCATCTTGAGATTTTTTTATAACTGACTTTAGGCTTAGCTAAGACTGCAAAACCTGGATAGCTGACTATGTAAAGTTGACTTGGTCTGTTGGTCTAAGAGTATTATATGAACTATTAGCCCTAAAAAATATAGGAAACATACTGTAAATGGGCTGATGACATCAGCTAGACCAGTTTTAGTTTAAGTTATTATTTAAGTAATTAATTTTCATCAAGTTTCGTCTCTTTTTTCATACCACGATAATAAGAATAATTCCTATTCTCTTTAGCTGTTATACACAGTTACACCTTCAGTAAATCTTATTATATAATTAGTTGTCATCATTTTCATCAGTTGTCCAATCAATTTGTATACACTATAGGTGAGGAACTTTTAATTTATTACCAGGGTATGCATATCCAGTCGTCATACCTTGGCACGCACCTGATAGGAGGGGTAAAGGACCAGTCTCCAGCTGACATCTGTGGAAAAATTGAGGAAGGAGATGAAGTCATCATGGTCAATTATCAGATGGTGGTAAGTATGACTTGGAGCACATCAAGTTTCAGTGTGATTATTTGGTAGGAAATTACTTACACAGTAATGTTTTTGTGAGATTTGTGTTTTTGTAAACGTCTTTTTATCTAGGTGTGATTTAGTATTAGGCAGCATCCAGTTCATTTGCATCTTATATCTCTATTTGTAATGAAATTTCATAAAATGAAAAATATGCTAGTGGTATATAATTTTCTACTTATAATAGTAGTCTTCACTGTGTTCTAGGTTGGCTGGCAGCTGAAGAAATTGGTACAGATTTTGAGAGAGAAACCAAGAGAAGTCATTCTGATGCTTAAGAAACGTCCCAGACATGCTAATATCTTCGGCCAGCCAACTAATCGTAGGCGGCGCTCTCCAAACAAGAAGCCATCCACATTTCCCAAACTTCAGAAGAAGAGGTCTAGGGAAGACAAGAATGTGAGAACCCCACTACCACCAAACTTCCTACACTCTGAGCAGGAGCAGCTCTCTCCAAGGTAGAGGGTGTATTATTACTTATTTTGATAATAGAAAAAACAGTCTATGAACAAATGCAGGCATGTGATGTGTAATGTGAATTTGTCAGGTGACAAATAGAGAGATGTACAGATTCATTAATGTGCATTTTCTTAGGTCAATATTGCTTAAAAAAAGCAATGAAGAATTTTAAAATACATTTAGAAAGTTGTACAGATGACGACATACAGAATATTTTGGGATGTTTTTTTTATCCATAATGCTTACTAGTAGATTAATGGGAAATTTGGCATGTCTAAACTGCTTTTTATTTGATGTTATCAAGTATGTGGCTAAGGTATGACTGAGACTGAGTAATCATTTAAGGAAACGGCCTTAAAGAGGCTTATAGCTACCTGGGCATAGGTTCAGGTCATTGCTAACCACAATGTAATATGTTTTCAGCATGTTAGATGCATAGAATGGCCATTTTACCACCTCCCTAGTATCTGGGAGTGTGTATGTACCTACATTAACACTGTTCCATGAAATATTTGTTATGTATACGTATTTCCTGCCATATACCAAAGTCAGTGACTATTTATGAGAGAAGGGAACCATATGTTTGTTTTTAAGCACCAGATAGACCTCATTATGTAAGCAGTTGTAAAGAGTTTCAGGTGGATTTATAGCTGACTCAGATCAATCAACAGACATTAAAAAATATGATGTTACATGTACTTGCAGCAAAATTAGTTGTTGATTGATAAAATTATTATTGATATATAGAACTTAATTTAGTTCTTAATGTGGTCTTTTTGAACTGAGCCTGACTTGAGCATTATTGGTCATGATCTTATTTTTTTGATGCAGCTCGACTTAGACAGGAGCATGTACACATGCATTTTAGAATGGTTTGTACAAACAGTATGTAGTGAAGGGCTATCTTTATACTTCAATAATATCTATGTGCCTGCCCCATTGTGCAGACTACTCAACCTTTGCCTTTCAAGTTCAGTGTTTTCCTGGTTGATATAGCATGGTGTCTTATCATGAGTTAAGTTAAGGTTTTAAATGGCTACACAATTTAATTGACAGTTTTATATAATTTATTATGTTTCTGATGACATTAAGAGCATGTTTTTGCTGCATTTGTTCAGGGTAAGTAAAAAGTTACCATTGCCTTTTCAAATGGGTTTGTCAATTTTGGAAACTGATAAATTATGACTCTGCTGTTAAAAATCTATAAAAAACTATTCACATTTTCTGAAGAGATTGAATTGTTTGTCCAGTGTGATAGAAATGCTTTTAACTGTATTGACATTAAAAAGGTCAGAAAAAAACTGTTTACATTTTTTGAAGATACACCTTTCACTAAAATGACATAACTGGGCAATTTTATTGCCTTATGAACATTCAATTGAAACCCAAGTGGCTGCTCTACAATGTAATATAGTTCAAATTGGTTAGTTGTTCAGTAAGATTACCAGGTACAGTAGATATGATGTGTACACATAGATTTCAGTTGTATGACATGCAGATTGAGGCAAGGTTGAGTGGATCTGTTTGTGGAAATGAGGAAATTCTGACTAAGCATCAGGGAAAAACATTAAAAATGTCATTCAAATTTGGTAAATGTCATTTTTTTTATGGCAATATTTTTAAAGTATGCAAAAGATAATGTTTAAATATATCATTTATGATACTAGAAAAATTAATTGTCAGATATTTTTCTGTATCCTATATTTTGTCCATGCAGCAAATGGTAAACGGAGATATTTTGGATTTTACCTCCATTTACCATTATTTCCTTTCCCTTTTACATTTCCTTTTATTTTGGGACAATACTTCCTGGTTTTACAGCTTCTGAGCTTGTTATGCAAATAAATATTTGCACCATGACCTAGTTATTTCACCAACCTTGCATTGGGCTTCGCAACTTAACATGGCAGTACAAGTTTACTTAGTAAGAAGAAAATTTGGGACAAAGTTTATATCCTTTTTTAACGCTCATTGTCAAGAAGCAACTCTTTAAACCTGTTAGCACACAGACAGCACACAAGGTATGTGAAGTTGACTCTTGTTTTGCAATTTTCATCTGAAGTTCAGGAAGTTAGATAGACATACTTATTGAGGAGTAAAGTAATTGAGGGCACCATATAGTGGTGTAACCTGGGTCACCAGATATACCTGTATACACCTGCAGGCCCGTAGCCAGGGGGGGTTCGGGGGGGTTCGAAAGAACCGCCCCTTTTGCTGGGAAAAGGTCCACTCTGGGTAAAATTTGATCTAGGTACATGAAGTTTCAATGGGAAAAGGTCCACTTTTTCAGAAAAAGAACCCCCCTTTTGAAATTGCTGGCTACAGGCCTGACCTGTCACAGAGGCATGTTCACCTGTACAAAACAGTTAGGTGACTTACCCGTAAGATACGAAACAAAGTGATGTATCATAGCAATAGTATTTCAGTCACAGACAATTTCCTGCAAATAATGATATTTTTGGAGATACATGTAGGGTTCTTAAAAAAAACCATACTGATTGATGTTCTTTATTTATTGTGGGGTGTTTCTTCAGTGACATAATATCTCTGTTGTGAAATGTATGTGGAATGTGGCTACTGATGATATCAAAGGTAGTGAGTTGTATATCTGGTGTGAGTGGTATCAGTGTGGATAGTATGTGCAGTAAATATTTAAACAGATTTAAAATTAAGGTACTTATGAGATCATGTGATGTAGCAGTATATGTGCGGGGAATTGACATACTTTTCATCACTTTCTCATTTGTTATTGAAAATTGCTCCTGGAAGTTGAGGTGATGCACGGAATATATGCTATTTATAGAGTTTGATTTAGAGATAGAGTTCTTTATCAAATTTGAAATTGTCTTATGTAGCTGGTTCTAACTAATATTCCTTGGTAATCCATAATTGGATTGTACATGTATGAACAGTTTGATTTGGCTAAAACTTGAATTTTGTTTGTTGCATAAATCCAGGTAAATGTGGTTAACTTTTAATGTGTTAATTATAAAACAGTGCATGTTAAAATTGTATGATAGTTATCAAGGGCTGCACTATTTTTAAGTCAGTCCTTAAAGGTTGTTACAGATGGTTTATTCATAAGAAACACTAACAAGTCACAAGTGCCTACAGCCCCAAGACTATAGTCTTACAATGTGCTAGTACTGGTACATATCCTTATTTTCATTGAGGCTAACTCATACCATTGTGACTTATCCATATCTGACTTTGAGCAGTTTGAATGTCAAGTAAGACCATTTGGTTGTTCTATCACTTGAATTGTCTGATAGTATAATATTGAACTCATGACTTAATCAGTCTTATCTTGTCACATATAGGTGAATTGATAACCCCCCTCCCCCTTCCTTCAATCTCCAGTGATTTTTTTTTTTCATCTGTCTTTCAAGTTTGTGAAAAATGCTTGCTTAGGACGTATTGTTGTGATAGGGAAAACTGTCAGTACTTGATTACCTATCATGTTATGGGAATTCTGTAAATATCTCAGATCATAGTTCGGCAGCTAAAATAGCAAACTTCCAAACTTCTTTTCCTGACAGGATATTAAGAGAAACAACATAGCTAAATGTTCCTCAGAGCTTTCATCATGCATCAGATAGAGGAGATTTTTTTACTTAACTTGCCAAAATGCTTTCCATTGATGAATTGATTGGATCCTCTCAAAATTTAACAGGTGGTCATTGGTCCAGATAGTTTATCAATTGATTTCTTGCCCACTGTCTCTGTTTGTTTATGTAGGATTATCTTTAGCATTCAATATTTTTTCCTGCATTACATTTAGACAGGGCCATCTTGGACTTTGATTAAAAAGAAATATACTTGTTATTACTCATCCCACTTCCTTCCTTTCTTCCTTTAGGTTTAGAAAAAAAACTAAAGAAATTAATACTGAAACTGCACATTAAGATCATGTGATGCTGTCAGTATTCCAGAATCAAGTTATATCAGTAAGTTATTAAACCCAGAAAATGATCCTGACATTAAAAAATGATAATGATATTGATCAATAAAAGTTGAAATATTGGATATTGCACCAGACAGACCAATTTGCACTAGAAAGATTGTGTTCAATCTGCTGTAAATCCTTTCAGAATACTCTAATGGATGATCAAGTTAAGGTTGGACTATATGGAAAGATCATGAGTAATAGGCAGTGTATATGATGTGAATGTCAATAATGCAACTCTGTGGTACTTGTGTAAGGCAGAACAGCTAGCCACTCATCCAGTGGGGCAATATGGCAGGCGTTAGAAGCACATATTGATTTATATGTAAAAAGAGAGTGTGGGCGGGTGGTTTTACTCTGAAGAAAAAATATGGGGGCTTGGTACTGCACTCTCAGTTTCAGGTTTGTATATGTACTGAATTTTAGCTAAGATGTCATTCATATTCATATGGCAGAGTTGTGTTTAAATAGTTACATGTTGATCATGTACTAGTACTCTTATGTACTCAGTACTAGTAATGGCTAATTATGAAAAAGAGGTTTACACTGTATACAAACTCCTAATGTAATGTTATAAGTTCTTCTGGTTTTGAAGCCAAAATGATTAATTGCAGCATTTAAGGATTTCTAATATTTACATGTTGTCTTTAAAGAAAACTGTGTAGTAGTTTTGATAAAATTAATGTGACCCTAGGACACACGTGATGTTAACCCGTGTGGTCTTAGCCTATTCTTGGCATTGCTTACTTGAAAAGGTACAAGATGAATATAATAATTAGTCTTTAATTTTTATTATATGATCATTCATGTTTCCAGTATTGCTTTTTGAAAGTATGCTCTATTTTTAAGATTAAAATGAGATGATAAGAACAATGCTTTCTTTCACAGAGAGGTAGAAGATGACAATGATGTGTTTCGCAGTGGTTCAGAATCACCCAATTTTGCACAGTTAGATGCCAAACAGCGACGTGCAACAGTGAGTGGAGGGTCTCCCACCATCAAGCGACCTTCATTAAAACTCCATGAACTAAAAGAAGGTCGTCCACGAGGGAACACCATAGCATCCCCAGAGGCAGAGACCGTCTATGATCTGTCTGAGGCCAGGGAGCAGAGAGACAAGAAAAGTAAGTTAAGCATTTTTTGCCCTCTTTGGTTATTTTTAATAACTCTGCTAAGTTTTCTATATTTCATTGTTTTATTTTCTTTGGGAAATGATAAGTTTAAGATATGTTAAGTTTATTAATATTATATAAAATAACAAAGGTGTGAATATTGTGCACTGTTGTTTCAGAAGCACAGCAATCAAAATTTCAACCCCGCAACATTTTTCCAAAATATTTTGTAGCTAGTACATATTTGTTGTATTTGGAAATACAACATTTTATGTTGATGTTATGAATTGGCCAGATAAATGTTATTAATATACATTACATAAATATACATACATATACTGTTAAAAAACTGCCAGTAACACTGCATTTCTAGGGTATACAAATTCGTACGTACTTATCTTTTGGGATGAATGTATCCATATAGTATATTCCATTACCAAGTGAGTCAGACTTCAGCTTAGTGATTCCTTATATTTGTTTTATTGATTCTCTGATATATATTACCCTGACCAATGTGTTTTTCTCTATCTGCTGCCACAGGATTGACACCAAGTAAGTAGATGATAACCCTTGTCTATTATCATGAAGACAGCTGATGCTATAAGGGTGTTTTATTATAATTATTATTTATTGGTTGTTTTGTTTTAATATCATTTGCCACATATTTAAATCAGCATATTGCTATGTAGTATATGTGGGATTGTATCCTTACCTAGTATCTTATCACATATATGCATTATATGGATGTATTATGTAATCATTATCGAAAATAAAACAAAAAACATGCCATTATATGAACCATGCTCTTTTAAAGAAATGTTAAAAAGATAAGTAATTAGTTGTACATGTGTATATATTTGCTCTACAGGACTGAGTACATTGTTGGCTTGGAAACATTCAGGCATGGGAATGGTTGCTTTTTTCCCTTACTTTTGACTTAATTCAAAGGTTGTGCATGTAATTAGTTTAATGGTACAATATACAACAATTGCACGCCAGTTTATATTTCCACTTGGACTATGATTATATAACATATTTAGTTGCTGAAGTAAATTTATACAATCCAGTGTTGCTTGTTTAAAATATTACTGAATGAAGGCTTAAATGATAGATTTGAAGGTATGACCTTTTACTTTATGTATCCCTTGCTTTAGCATATGGAATATATTTTTCCATTCCCATACATTGACTGTATTGTAATTCTTGTTCTGTGACTTAACTTGGCAAACTTGAGAAACTGATCCAGCTATAAAGTTTAATCACTTTTTCAACCAACAGTCTTTGTGCGAAAAAAATTTGATTTTATGATCAAGTAAGAAGAATATGCAAATAAAATTGATGCCGGTTCCTTTCTTTTCCATTGCCATTCAGATTTTCATCCTTGATGGAATAATTGTGTTGAGATATCACCTCATTAGATTTTATTTTATTTTATTTTTTTTTCATTTATTTATTTTTATTTTTGCTGCTTAAAAATCTGCCAACTATTTGGACCTTTGTCAAGAAGAAAATTCTCCTTTTCTAAACCCTGCACATATATGAACTTTCAATATTTTCAAATACAATGCAGTGATCAGTTGCTCTATTTTGATTGAAAATCTAAGTTGTCAAAGTAAAAAGGGCAATCAGATTTTATGTATAGAGTATAGTTGATTCAGTATTTTCAAATTCCAGAAGTAGAAAAAAGGACATATTAAACTGATGTGTTTAATTTTTTATGAATGCTCAGTTTTTGTATATGATTGATAGGGTGATGGACAATTTCTTTTGTTGTATATTACACTAGATTCTTTTCAAATAGAATTCTTTTTAGCAGTTAGTTGATCAATAAGATTGAATTACTGCACAGTTATTTTTGCAATGTAAAAGCAAAAAAAAAAAAAAAAAAAAAACAGTTTTTCTCTCTGTCAGTAAGGATAAAAATGAACTATAATAATATAACATATCTTTTCTCATTTTACCAAAATTTTATTTCTCCACAGCTAAGAGTTTTGCATTTGGTGAACACCTGGAGGATATTCACGGCATAGACAGCCCATTTGGCTCCCCAGTCATACAGCGCAAAGAGAATCAACTCAAGGTACCTTCCAAGTCCTCGCCCAAGGTAAAGAGATCCCAAGAGGCAGCAGCCAGGGAGGTAGCTGGAGGTATGGATAGCAGTGGATCGCCTCAGCTACTCACCATCAGGAAGCTTGATTCAGTGAAGAGGGCAGAGGCAGTGAGTGTTCTTTTCTTTTTTCAGGTTCAGAACATTGATAAATATCTGAATTTAAGTGTTGGGGCAGAGAACGATTATCAAATGTATGCCATGAAGATACTGTAAGAATTTTCTTTAAGTGATTGTGGCATACATGTACTGTGTATGTCAAAAGATTTGGTAAAATTGAGTGGGAGTATATGAAGTCAACTTTATCAGAAATATCAACTTGAAAAGAAATGAGAACAAAATTTAAAAGTATTAAATGCACTTATGGAAACTTATTCCTTTTTTTGCCACCTCAGAATAAGCCCAGTGGTAATGGCAATGTGGCTGTAGAGACTCCACCCCCTGCACCCACTGACAGTATAGCGGGAGACCAGAGCAGCAGGTACCCATTAAACTGATAATAGATGAAATTTTGCTAAATGTGTGTGTGCATGCGTAATTTCTCCTGTACTTCCTGAGATGTCATGTCATGAGCAACTAATATTATACAAAACATAATTTGGGTTCCAACTTGAGGAATCTGTATAAATATGTGTGGATTGTATGCCCTTTTGTAGAGAAATGGCATTTCTTCAAGATATATTTTTGACTTTTTGTTGAATATAAAGCTATACTGTGAAGATAGTGGGTGGTGTTCTCCAGAAGGTGCCTGCTGTACCCGGTGCTGCCAAAGCTGATGATGAGGTATGTTGCATGTTACTCATTTCATCATTTTATCATTTCAAAATATGTTTTGAATGAAAAATAAAAACCAGACCTAGGCAACAATACAATACAATTCAATACACTATACTATAAATTTTATTTCATGTCAGGTATAAATTGAAAGGAAACATTTGTGGCTATTCACCAATTAGCTTAGGACAAACATTTCTACAAATAATGCAATATTTACACGAGGTCTAGTAAGATAGTGAACAGAAACATTTGAAAATTTCCACTGCCACTGTGTATAGTTTATGTTTATCTTTGAAAATCAAAAGTTAGATCTTTTTTTACACCAGCTGACATAGATAATATTTAAATTGATAAATGTATGTCCTTTAATTTTAAACTGAACAATTATATATATATATATATATGGCCTCAGCAGCCTTGTGGCTAGACCATAAGTGGAAAGGTCTTGTAATTTATCACCTGCCTCTCCTGTTTATGAGATGATATGGATATTGTGTAATTCCTGATAGCAGTTTTAATTGCACCTAATCATATCAGATTCTGTGCCAGGCTCAGAGCTGTTATCATAATCTTCTTTTAGTGTGGCCAATAATGCTGAAATTATTACATTTGGTTAGGAAGGCAGCTTTACCTGTTGTGCCTCAACTTACATATAATTAAATGTGATGTTGAGTTGACTTATCCATCATTTTTGTGGAGAAAAAAAAAAGATATGGTTTTATCTGTTTTAGTCTCCTGTGGTTCGAAGAAGACCAAAGAAATCCTCCGCAAAATCCAGAATTGGAGGCAGCAGACGTAGAATCTCATGCAAAGACTTGGGCCAGGGAGACTGCCAGGGCTGGTTATATATGATGAGAGAGAAAGGTTTATTTCACACCAGTGCATGGGACAAAGTGTGGTGTGTGCTCAAACAACATTATGTTTACATATACAAGTCACCAGAGGTAAGGAGTGTTATTTTTACTTTTTCACTTTTTTGTTGTATTTGGCTAACAAGAAGATAATATACATATAGAGGATAGAAAGAATCAAGAGAGAGATGATAATGAGCAGGTTTTGCAGTCACATTTGTAATACAATGACTTATGGAGTCATTTTTAATTTTTGCCAAGAATTTGTAGCTAATAGTAATAAATAGTACAAATTCATAATTTAAGTATTTTGTGGTATTTATTATAGGATCTCACTGCAAAAGTGTTCTTAGCTCTACCTGGCTATGAAGTTTCCCCTATACTTGATAAAAGGAGGACTAAAAAGCAGTAAGTCATTAATGATATCATTGTCAAGAATGATACCATTGTTATTGTTTACTCAGTAATAAACCAGGTACATTCATGAATTTTTTCTTTGCAGTATCAAAGTCAAGTACCTAATAGGTGAAATTAAAAGTAGTTGTCATTCATACATCAATTTAATGACTTTGAATCTGTTCCAGTTTTGTTTTCTCTCACAGGGTCGTGGTCCATGATAAATCCAGTGCAATCCAAATTGATTAAATGTTTGTATATTGCAGTGCCTTTAAGGTCCGTAATGCTGGCTCAAGTTTCTCCTTTGCTTCTGATCGCCAGGAAGACATGGTTAAGTAAGTGGCACACTTAGATTAACTTCACTACTGTAGATTTGCATAGTTTCTGTGGAATACTTATGTGAAAATTAATTCTATCCAACTACTACCCCAGCTGAGGTAATTTGCAACCTGTATTTTTATATATGTATATATTCTGACCAGATTGTCTGTCCGTGTCAAACCATATTTTCATTTTACTGTAAATTTTTTGAGGGGGCTCTGTTTAGTAAAGAGGCAGGTTGCTTTTGAAAATTAGCATGATTGGTTTACATTTATTCTGTTTTTTTTTTTTTTTTTTTTGCACAATTTTGGCAACATTCAGCTTGACATGTACAGTAACTACAAAACCATATTTTGTTTAACTTCAATTTTACTGAGTGGTTTTGTTTGATAAAGAGACAGCTCTCCTTTGGAAACAGCATGATTGAATTACTTTTATCATAATGGTAATAATTAATTTTTGCATGTATTTTGTTTATGTTTCTTCCTTTTTGGTGCCAGCTTTGCCAGCTATATTTGCCAGCTTTGCTGTCTAGTTTTATGTTAAAACTAAAATATATATAAAATTGTTAATTGATTTTCACAGATGGATGAATAAAATGGGCCTTGCTGCCATTAATTATGATGCCAGTAACATTGTGACGACAGCAGGACATGTTAATCTGGGAGAAAAAGCAGTGGGTGTGGAAAGTAAGTGCATTTAATACAAAATTATTCTGCCTCTTTGCCCAATAATGTATTGGATCAATCACTGAAGTTATTTTTTATATGCATAAAGAGTATAACATTACATTTAATAAATAATAAAAAATCTATCATAAGTCATCTGATAAGAATATGATACTTTTCACAGTTCTTTGTGTCAGTTAGGACAAAAAGAAAGCACATTAAAGTTGATTATTCTAAAAGTAGTAAAATATCTCTTTGAAACTTTGAAACTTTTGACATTTTCATAAGATCCATATTGTGAACTGAGTGAAAGTGATGAGAGTGACTCAGAAGGAAGAGGACCTACACAGCAACCCCGCCTGATCAAACAACCCGCTGTCCTTGATGACCAGCTGAGCCTGATATCTGAGGAGGACAGTGTTCTCAGCTTGAGGCTGAATAACAGTGAAAGACAACATTCCAAAGATAACACTTCTCTTGTGGTTGTTGAAGATAATGAAGATGGTGTGCATCTAACCATTAATCTTTCTTTTCCTTTTACAAAAAGAAATTTTTCTAATTTTTTTTTCATAACTGTTTTAAGTATTGTATATCTGTTAAGTAAACTAATGTGAAATGTAAAGGGATTTATCATTTGAACAGTTCAGCTCTGAGTGTTATTGTGAATTAGATAATGATATTTGGTTACTATGACAACAGAAACATTTTTACTATGGGCTGAATAAAACATCTGACATTTGGTTAAAGTTAATTAGAGGGCAGAAAAATATCTGTCATGTTAAAAGTTGTTGTTCAAAACTAGTAATGGTAATGAGATATTTGACCTCACCTTGACCTTGCAGGTATAGTAGTGGACACTTCAGAGGGTAGAGCCACATTGAGGAAAAAAGCCAAAGCTGGACATGATGACTTTAAAACTATGTGTAAAAGTATCCACAATGCAGATGTAGATCTGGTGGGGGCTAATCTCAAAGATCGACGCACCAGTGCCCTGCATGTGCTCCACAGTAATAAGAGACAGAGCACGGACATGATGCAGGCAAAGAAACTACAGGCATTGAGCAGAACATTAAAGGTAGGGAAGATTTAAAGATAGCACGCAATTAATTATGCTGGAAAATAATGAAGAAAAAGTAAAAATACAAACAATGAATTTCCTTGACATCAGTGACAGTTTTATTGTCTCTAACGTTATATGCTTTTAGTCCGCTTAAATGTAGTGAACTGGAGACTGACGTAATTTTCTTAAAGCTCAGTTTGGCTGACAAAGTGCCGTAAGATGGATTTTCCTGGAGTAAACCATGATTTTCCCATAGTTACCAATGGTTAATGATTTTTTTTTTTTTTCATAAAAAGTGTTTTTTTTTTTTTTTTTTTTTTTTTTTTTGTAATAATCTATTAAGAGATTGTTATGGAGGGTAGGCCTTGTGGTCTGATAGTAAGCACAGATTTCAGAATAATTGTGATAACCACTGTTTGGTGGAATTTATTATATTTCTGTGATGTTTAGTGATCCCTCTAAGAAAGAAATGTTATAAGGTAGATACCTAGACTTCACAGGCCCATAAACAAGAACGCTCATATTACCAAAGGGTATTTAGTAAACAATGCTTTGCTTGCAATTAAGAATTGGTTTTCATGGCCTTGGGGGCAACAGTGCAGGCAATCAAAATTGGTGACTTCAGCTCACAGAGTATCCTTCATATAGTCCCTTCAAGTGAATAATGTTTTAAGAATATTGCATATTCTGTTTGTGACACAATTTTTAAAGAAAAGGTATGTGGTTGAATATTTGAACAAAAGGCAGAATATGAAGTGCAAGCTTCTTTTTCTTTTATAGTATTTATTTTTATTGCAGGCCAAAGAAAGTGAACTGAATGACATTGAAGAATTGTTAAGATCATCGTTATCTCCTCACAAACTGTTACACTTCAAAGAACTCCATCCAGAAGTTAGTAGGCATACAGAATCCAAGAAAAAATATGAGGAAACGGACATTTAAAAGAAGTCCAAGTTCTATACTGGAGATCTATTAGTGTATACCAAGGCTTTATAATACATTAACATGTACAGTTTTATCTGTAGTTCAAGTAGGATAAATGTGGATTGTAGGATGTAAAACAGTAGTTTAAATATCAGGACTTTTCATACAATGTTATGAATTGTTTAAGAATCCATTGAACTATTTGTTCACTTTTCATACATTGTTATTTTCTTGTGATATTGGACATGTATGTATATTAAACATTTGATATACATATTCTGGATAAGCGGCTCAAGGTTACTTTGAGGCATCCATGCCAGGTAGGCTTTAGACAGAACAGCGCAAATTCTATCCATTTATGATTTTTTCATTAAATTGAAATTGATTTTATTGATATTTTGTAGTAGAGAAATGAAGATGCTCTTTTTTGCAAGGGTAAAACGTTTCTAAATTTATTTATTGTTAGTGAAGTAGCGATTTGATAGTGGAACCTTTCTATCAGATATATTGCTTTGTCTTATCTATCTATGGTAAATCTTATTCAGGAATATATGTTTTGAATATATATTAGAAGGCACATCAGACAAAAATTACTTTTATTCATGTACAGAACATAGTCAGTAGTGGCTCAAACTGTACTTAAAATTATATTTGAATGCCATGTAGTAAAATTTTTAAGTACTACTTCTGTGATAAAAGATATATCCATGTTCTGCAAAAAAAATGTACATGCATGAATAGCATATCTTTCATACAATATACATGTTCCTAATAATTATCAAAAGCACCTACAACTATTTGATGCTGGTCACATTGTATGCACCTGAATGTGCATTTGTTTTCTAGTCTATCACTAGTTTACATGCATATATGTCTGTTATAATTAAACATATACTATAACTGATATTCATGTCCTTTATTTGTTTTATGTACAGTTTTTTGTAAGTGCTTCAAGTGAAATGTACTGAAAGAAAAAATAGTGTGCACAGTGTCAGTTATTTGAAAGCACCTTGACATATGATGTAGGGATCAGTCCACATCCTGAATTCCAAGATAATCCCACTTTAAAAATGGGGAAAACATTTTGTAACATCTGTAAATAAATATATTAATGATATATGCACAGACAGAATAAGTGTTTTATCTTCATTATGATACAAGATGCCTGTTACTGCAATAATTTAAAATAATTGAATAAATATACAAGCAATAATTGAATATTTTAAAACGTATAATTCAAATAATACAATGTTATATTTGAATATAAAGCTTGGTAGCTTAGTTTCTTTGCAAGTTGTAAGGCCAATTTTTTTAAACGAGACTATCTCTTGAATTCTAAGCTGTAATGTCTCTTCCAAAACTAATATATTCTTCATATAATTAAGTCCTTTTCCTTCATAGTCAATGTCTTTGAAGATTGATCGTTCTTTTCTTTTCACACATCCACTTCTTCAAGACTTCCCCATGTGGGTCCCATGCTGACTTTGACTGGTAAATGAACAGAGAAGCTCATGGCATTCTCCATGTTGTTCTTCACAATCTTTGCCACAGCCATAGAGTCTTGTTCTGCTACTTCATAGATCAGCTCGTCATGCAACTGTAGAATAAAAAATCCTCCTCTCGGTTTTCCATTATTGTCAGACTTTGAGTGGACCCTCTGCCTTGTGTCTGTGTCAAAAAATGTAATAAAGCAATAATGAAAACTTAATGTGATTAAACACTTAAAAACCAATTATTCTCTTTCTTAAAAAGTATACATGACAAACATTAGACCAAAATCAAAGTTCTGAATATAACAAATGGTGATAAACAAAGCACCTCTTAAACAAAACCCACATAAAAGAAGGCATGATACTTTAATATTTAGTGAAATACCGAATCACAGCAACTGACCCACAGACTGGAACTGCTTGTGAAGGTGTGGCTTAGCTGTGTCAGGAAACCTCTCCATCAAGATGCTGTCTATCCTGTTCATGGCCAGTTTGACCAGATCTGCTGCAGAGCCCTGCACTGTGGTGTTCACCGCCTGCCTCTCAGCCTGACAGGGAATAGATGGGATATTTCAAATTAAAAAGTTGCAACAGATTATCCAGCTCCGTATGGGTAGAAAACAATGCTTGTATTCCTGCCTTTTTAATCTTTGCACAATTTTTTCACAGTTTCCATTTCCAAAGGTAAGTTTATATAGTTCTCCATTACTTCAATCAGGCATTTACTTGCAATATATTTTGGAGGGGATCATTTCACCCAAACAGACCAAACTTAACCATTCCTATAAGTAAAACTTATGTTCAACAAAATAAATGAAGAAAATTTTAGAATGTTACAACTGAATTTTTTTTAAATTTTACCTGCGCTTTAACATGTGGATTAGTATCCTTGATGCCAGGCAGGTATCGCCTGCGTCCTGTGACAGTCTGAACATATCCCAGAGTTCTACACTGCTCCACAGTGGTCTGAAGATACTGTCTCATACCTGCAATAAAAAACTCACCTAAAGCAGTACACTATTACAGGTTGAGAGAGGACAATTTTACTTAAGATCAAACCATCTGGCAACCTCTTCAAGACAAGACATCAGAAACTTCGAGAAGGACATCAGCTCCAATTATTATATTTTTGGACTTTCAGAAATTTTAAGTGGAATGAGTTTCTGTTTACCTTTGTAACGTGCTTTGAATGTCTCAATAAATGCAGCTGCATCATTCTCTTCTACACCTATTTGTTCTCCCAGTGCCTTGGGACCAATACCATACAACATGCCATAACAAACCTAGAAAACAATGACATCTTAATCAATATCACTTCCATCCCACTGCTCTCAATCCAATGCCAAAGTTTTAACAAGGCAGCAAAGCTGTCAAATGTACAGACAAAGAACAGAAAATAAAGATGCAAATAAGTGAAAAATTAAATTTTCACAAAAAACTGTTAAATTGCCAGAAAAATTTACCAAACAGACTGCGTTGCCTATTGAAGCTGTATGTTAGACCCATGTTTCTTTCCTGTAAGTTTGAGAACAGTAAGTGACATGATTTCCCTTAAATGGTCATCATAGGAGCAGTGCCCAAAATAGGGGTTTCTTCAAATTTTGATGCAACATTACATAATGTTTAACAGCATAATGACAATCAAATGTTATTAATAAAATATTAGTAACATGGACATTCAGAAAATGTGACAAGCAAAAGTCTTCAAGATCATGGAACTTTAAAGTCACACCTTGAAAATGCCAATATGTGAAAAA